AGCTGTGTCTAGAAGTAGGGTGCCAATGGTACACTGGCTGAGAAGATGGCCTTTGAGTCCCCCTTTACCATTCTTAATGGCGAGACATTGGGCAGGTTACTCAGCCTCAGTTTCCACACCTGTGAAGTGGAGGTCATGGTAACGCCTACCTCCCGAGGCTGTTGGGAGGATTACACGAAAACATGTAAAGCATACAGAATGGTGCACATAATAAGAACTCAACAAGTGTGTTTAAATCCACCCAGTTTGAGTCTAGTGAAAGTAGAGAGAGAAGGAAGGAGGTGAAGCAGGGAGGAAGGCAGGGCTGGATTATGGAGACCACAGTAAGTTATTTGGGTTTTATTCAAAGTTCAGTGGGAAACCACTGGAGGACTCTAAGCAGAGAGCAGCATGATCTGATTTAAAATTTTAAAAGATCAACTCTGGCCGCTCTGTGGGAAATGGATTGTAGGGATTTTCTTTTTCTCCAAAAGGTCATGTGTTATGAGAGTGAGCAGGTGTGCTTGTGTGAAGAAGGGTGAGCAGCCTTCTTGGACTCACTTCTTGAAGCCTAGGGTTTTGTCGTTGGCTCAACAAATACGTCCTGAGCACTTGCTTTTTCCCAGGAACTAGATATGTACTGGGGATGCAGTCACACGTGACATTCAGACCTTTGGGGAGCACCTGGCATGGTATGTGGCTCACAGGAGGGGCTCCTTACATGACAGCTCCAGCTAGTCATTTTTTTTTTTTTGTCATATTTCTTGTTCCTGTACTCAAGAGCACATGGTAATGGATGAAATGGAGCCAGACATGATCAACTAAAATACACAATAACAGGGATCACCCGGGCAACATAGCAAAACCCTATCTCAAAACAACAACAACAACAAAGTTTCCAAAGAATACAACTTGGTATGAGAGATGTTTGAGAAAGAGTAAATGAAAAGGGAAGGTTACAAAGCTATGTCACAGTACACACCTTTAAAAAAACATAACAAAAATGTTTGATTTAGTTATAAACCCGTCAGGATTGAATATGTTCACACACCAAAAACATGAACAAGAATATTCATAGCAGTATTATTTTTAATGGTACCAAATAGGAAACAATCCAAATATCTATTAATGGTGGAATGGATAAGACACAATATACAATATTCCATCATAATGAAGATGAATGAGCTACAACTACTCTAAAAAATGCCCATAATTCTTACTAGCAATGCTAAAAAAGCAGACTCAAAAGATTATGATTCAATTTGTATAAAGTTCAGCAGGCAAAGCTGACATATGTTAATAGAAGTCAGAATGGTGGTTAATTAAAAAAACACTTTTAGTCATTTGAAAAATTAAAATACACATAAAAGTTAGCATTTTTACGTGGTAATTCATTGGTATTCAGCACATTGACAATATTGTGTAACCATTACCATGATCTGGTTCTGTAACTTTTTTTTTTTTAAAGAGAGAAAATTTTTTAATATTTATTTTTTAGTTCTCGGCAGACACAACATCTTTGTTTGTATGTGGTGCTGAGGATCGAACCTGGGCCGCACGCATGCCAGGCGAGCGCGCCACCACTTGAGCCACATCCCCAGCCCCTGGTTCTGTAACTTTTTAAAAAAATTTTTTTAGTTGTCTGTGGACTTTTATTTTATCTATTTAATATGCAGTGCTCAGAATCCAACCCACTGTTGTAACTTTTAAATAGTCACTCCCCATTCCTCCCTTCCCCCGTGATGATACTTTTGAAAAGGAGGGGGAAATGACTGACAGGGGTATAATGGGGGCTTCTGGATACTGGTAATGTTTATTCCTTTTCAAAAAATATACCAGTAGATGTATGGTTGTGTTTTTGTTGCAAACATTTAGCTATACATTTATAAAGTCTGTACTTTTTGTATGAATATAGACATATAAATGTGCTAACAGCGATTTTCTCCCCTGGGAAAAATTACAAGTCCATCACTTTGATTTGTTAACTTGTGTTTTCCAGTTGGTCTTCATGAACACTGGTAATAAAATTTAAAACATCTTAAAGGAGAAAACATTAATTTTAATGTCTTTCAAAATAAAATGTTCCTAGCCAGGCATGGTAGCTTTGCAAGCCTGTAATCCCACCTACTCGGGAGGCTGAGGCAGGAGGATCAGAGATTCAGAGATTCAGATTTGAGATCAGCCTCAAAATAAAAAATTAAAAGGGTTAGGGATATGGCTCAGTGGTAAAACTCCGCTGGGTTCATTCCGCAGTACCAAAAAAAAAAGTCCTTAGTAGAGGCAAAGGGAGTGTCTTCTACCAAAATTTGCCTCAGAATTGATATTTTTATATTTATCCATCACCCTGTGTGGCTCTGGACCTGTGCTCTCTCCCAGGCTGCCTTTCTTCCTGATGGATATGGAAAGAGTACGTGGGGGAGAGATGAAAAGGAGTGCGTCCCGGCTCTCCTTGGTCACTGGGTGGTTTTGCTCAGAGGATTCACTCCTTGCCTGGCTGGAAGTAAACTCCAAGTAAAAGCTGGGAAATCTGATAAGGACACATAAGAGATTGAGATGAACAGGCTGCTTGTCCTGGCCTGAAAGGAGCACCAGGGTGCAGCCAAAGGCTTCAAGTAAGCAAGTGATCCTCTCCATCTGCCATCCCAGACACAAGCAGCCACTCTAGACAGAGATTTTCTTAAGAGAAGACTTTGACAGCCTTCCTCCGTCCACCACAGCTCTTCCTCCCTTTCAGGGGTTTGGAATGCCTTTAAGCATCCTTTGCTTTATGGACTTTCACATCTTTCAAAACTCAGTTTTCATCTCTGTTCCTTCCACGCTCCTCTGGCACCATTAATCTCTCCCTCTTCTGTGCTTCTGTCGGACCTCATTTATACCTATCCTAGAACAGCCACTTTATTGTGAAATAATTTCCTGCCAAATTATGATCTCTTTAGTAGCTGAAACTGAGTCTTTTATTTTTAATCACTGCATCCTCAATACCTACACAATTCCTGGTAAACAGTAGATACTCAAGAAATGTTCATTTAAATAGCTGAAGGTAGCTCATCTTTTTTCACCTTGATCCTTTCCCTAAGTGGAGTGACTGCACACATTCCCTTCCTTTTCCTCAAGGCTTTTGTTCTCCAATTTTTTCCTTGGCTCAAGATTGATCAATTGCTTGACTGAATTTTTTTTTTTTTTAAATCTTGAAATAGGATCTCACTAAGTTGCTGAGGACCTTACTAAATTGCTGAGGCTGGCCTCAAATTTGTGATTCTCTTTCTTCAGCCTCCCAAGATGCTGCGATTACAGGAATGTGTCACCGGCCCGGCCAGATTTCTTTCTTAAGAGATTATTATGTAGTTAGTTCCACATGTACATGCCCTGGAAATAGTGGTACAGATTTATACTCACTTCAAAGTGCATCGTGGGACCTGCAGTCATCCCACATCCTCTCCAGCCCTTGGAACTTGTCCTGCTTCATCCCCTCAATTTTAAAAACTGGGAACATGTTAAATAAGTTCCTTCTATATGAGCTTTTAGAGAGGGATTCTCTCCTAAACTAAAAAATGTCAGTTTGTAGTCCCCAGCACTGCAAAAAAAAAAAAAAAAAAGTTGTTTTTATCTGTACTAGTACTTTTACTTACCTGTTAAAGATTTACAACATGCCAGACACTGTCCTGGTTGATAATGCGATTGGAGAGGCAGGCAGACATCAGCTTTCATTGGACGTGCTCTGGGAACATGTAACAGAGTGCCTAATAGGGATCTTGGTCAGGCACAACTCGCTTGAGGAACTGAAATTCCTGCCAAATACTCAAATTTAAGTAGAAGGTAATTAGGTGAAAACGGGTGATAAAAGAGCCAAACTACAGTTTAAAAGTCCCTGAGGTGTGGGGGATGGGAAGGATCAAATGTTCAAAGATCTTCAAGACACTGCCCAGAGCCGGAGTGTGGAGTGGCCAAGGTGAGATTGGGGAACGTGGATGAGACAGACAGAGCCTTGCTGGATAAGTCGGCTTTAGTCAGGAACCTTTTGGTTAAAAGTGACAACAAACCGGCTTAGAAAAAAAGGGGGCCTTTATTGGCTCAGCAGCTAAAAGTTCAGGGCTTTCAAGATAAAAGATGTCATTGAGTTTTGACACCTCTCTCATCTTTGCTCTCCTTTGTGTTAGCTTCCTTCATTCTTTCTTTGTGAAATTGTCCCCTGATCTCCCCAGCCACAAAGACAAAGCCTGGAGTGGAAACGAACAGGGGGCGAAAAAGGACCATTCCTAAGGGCTGCTGATCCTTTTATTCTTCAAGACCTGCGAGGGTACCTTCTTTTCAGATGAAACTCAGACCTCTTCTCTTAGGCCCCCCGTGGAAAAGGCAGGATCCTGGCCTTTTAGGAAGTTTATGGAGGTAAAGAAAGGGACAGGGGAGGGGACTCTATTCCCGAGGCCAAAGCTATTTGCTTTCTTAAGACAGCGAATTCACCTCTCCCCGTCTCTTTCTCTAATGGCCTAAAATGCATTTTCTCTGCTGCAGCCTCAGCCTTCCTGGGGAGCAGGACCGTTGGTTTCGGTAGGAGGAAAGGAGGGCAGGAGCCCAGAACCCCTCGGTCTCCGCCCCGTCCTCTGCTCCCCTGCTCCCTCTCCAGCCGCGCTAAGAGGGCCCTGACCTACTTGCCTCACTCCTTCCCTCCGCCTCCAGGCCCCTCAAGCCTCTGCAGGTCCTGACCCGGGGCTTCAGGCTCCTGCACCGCCCGGTGGGACCCTCTCCCAGCTCCCGCACACCCCGCCCAGGCAGGGCCGTCCGCACCGCCCACCCAGGAACCCCCTTTTCCCTGGGATCTGGCGCTTCCGCCTCCGGGGCGGAGGCTCCTCCCCTCGCGGTGCCAATTGTGTTCCCGGGAAGAGCGGCCGGAAGGGCTCGGGGCCGGGCCGGGCCAGCGGGAGCGGCCCTCGTCGTCCGGGAGCCGGGGCGGCAGCTCTGGAGACGGCGCGCCCCGCCGGGGCCCAGCGGCGGGCGGCGCGGGCGGCGAGGGCGGCGCGGACGCGGCTTCAGCACCGCGGACAGCGCCCCGCCCGGGGCCCTGCCGCCGGCCGCGCGCTCCAGCTGCTGCCCGCGAGGCGGCGAGGTATGCCCGCGGCATGGCCCGGCGCTGCAGCCCCGCGGCGCTGCTCTGGAGCCTCGGCCTCCTCGGGCTGTGCTCAGGTAAGACGGCAGACCCCAGCCAACGACCCAGACGTCGCAGGTCTCCCGCTTGGGGGCCTGGAAGGCGGGAGGGGGCCCCTGGAGGTGCGGAGCCTGCTGACCCTTAGGGGAGAGCCCCCTGGTGCTGCGGGAGCACTTGAAAGACCGAACGGAAAGGAGTATCCACCGAAGGAGTAAGAGATCGAGGAAGAGATGGACACCTGGCCAGTTGGGGGGGGGGCAGGGAGGCAGGTGCAAGGGTCTCTTCCCAGCTTTCTGATGGAAGAGGGGCTGACAGACAGTGGCTGAGATGTCATTTGACTTTGTGTGACATTCCGCCTGGTCTAGGACCTCTCCCTTGGCTTCCCATCACTTCCCAATGTGTCCCCCCGTTGGGCTCCTGATTTGGGTCACTCCCCAGGGTCAGTCCTGGAAGGGACTTCTCTTGTGGGATGAGACTGGAAGTTGGAAAGGAGGAAGCTGCCAGGCTAAAGATGGAGGAGTTCTCTGAGAGGCTGGGGAGCAGTGGGCTTTCGCAGAGCTAAAGAGGGGGATAGAGAATGTGGAGGGGAAAGTACAAAGGGAATGTGCAGTGGAATGAGCTTGCTACCCTGCTGCCAACTCACGGGGTGGACTTCTGTATTATGGGGCTTAGGATTCAATGTACATCCGGATGCACAGTGTAGGTCATCCTACAGTCCCACGCCAACCCAGTGCCTGCAAGGGAGCGGGATGGTATCGTGACCACGGTCCCATGTGCAGACACTTATGATATTTGCCCACACTGATCAACAATGCAGGGTGTGTGGAAGAACACATAATTGTTCCCCTCTCACTACCCTCTAAACGGCCCATGAACTGTAGGTGTTTCTTGGGAAAGCCATGGAAGCAGAAACCTCAAGTGTTTTGAAACCACCTCTGAGACTTTGAGGGAAGAGCAGGTTTCCACTAGTCCTTGAGGAGTGGGTTCTTAGTATGGACATCTCCATTTGGACTCTTTGGTCAGTGGTCTCAGTGAGGGACTTCTCTATGAGGGTTTTGCTCTGCGCCTCACAGAGTAACCTAAACATTTTTCAGTATCCTTAGGAATGGGGCAGTAGGAAGCTATAGCCTTCTGGTTGGGCCTACTAGATTGTCCCACATATCGACACATAGTGTCCCACATGTCCCACATAGTTAGACCCCATCTTTCAAATTAATTAATTAAAATGAAATGAAAAATCAGAGCAACACCAACTCTGTGCCTGCATTTCCAAGAGTAAGATAAGGATATGTTAACTCACTTCCTGCCCCCGCCTTGTCCAGGGGTATGGGGTACAGACACAGAGGAGCGACTGGTGGAACATCTCCTGGATCCTTCCCGCTATAACAAGCTTATCCGTCCAGCCACCAATGGCTCTGAACTGGTGACAGTACAGCTGATGGTATCACTGGCCCAGCTCATCAGTGTGGTGAGTGGTGGTCCCAAACTCTCTGCCCATCTACTGAAGTCAACCCAGCTAGAATGTGTTAGTGTTAGTGTTTACTCCTCTGGTGTCCAATGTGGGAGGGACCATGGGTCGTGGCGGTAGGACTACAGTTGGTGTGAGGCTGGGGGCAGGGGGTTTCTCATCAGCAACTATATTTCCTTGCAGCATGAGCGGGAGCAGATCATGACCACCAATGTCTGGTTGACCCAGGTTAGTGGTCTTCCCACCCCATCCTCCTTCTTTGAAAGGTACAGATTTCGGAGTCTTAAATAATTGAATTGGAATCTCAGTTTGGCCACTCACCAGCTCTGTGATTTTAATTAGACTCCAAGATTCACTTTCTCATTGGTAAAATGTAGATTGTACTAAGTTGGCTTAGTTGTGCAAATGAAATGAGAAGGTGTCATATGAGCTACACTTGTTGGGCAGAGAAGTCACAGTGGAGGGAGCTGACTTTTAAAAGCTCCTTCAGGCCATATGGGATCCCTCTTGTCTCCTGCCTTGACCTTGGGTCCCTCCCTGAGGCAGGGGTGGGTGCTGCCTCCCTCCCTCTCTCCCTTTCCTAGGAGTGGGAGGACTACCGCCTCACCTGGAAGCCTGAGGAGTTCGACAATATGAAGAAAGTTCGACTCCCTTCCAAACATATCTGGCTCCCAGATGTGGTCCTGTACAACAAGTAGGTGACTCTGGAGGGAAGGAAGGTTGAGGGGGACCATGGGAGTGCTCAGTGAAGGAGGAAGGCTTGTAAAAATAAGAAAAGTAAGCTTATGCTGTGAGAAAAGGGACTTTTCATTGCTAGATATGTAGACAGGCAGTAGCCAAGGAGACAGACCCAGGAAGTGAGGTCCGGGGTGGACAGCCACAGGGATTTGGACCATGACGAGCCCCTTCTCAGTCAATCAGGACTGCCAGTGTTAGGGGCTTTGGCGGGGATTTAAAAAATTGAAGCTCCCAGTGCCTAAACTGATTCAAGAATACGTTTTTCTGGAAGCCTGGGAAGAGAACCTTAAGGTCCCAGTTTCTCCTCCAGGTTCTCAGGTTCTATCCTGTCTCCTGCAGCAATCCCTCCAACCTCTAAGGTACAAAATGACTTCCCTCAACTGATGGGACCGTACTCCACTCCTACCTCCCCCTATCCTTCTTTACTGCTTAGGGATGCTCACTCTGGTCTCCCCACCTTCCCCAACATCTCCACCCTCATGAGATACAACCAACCTGCACAATATGTGACAAGTAATGGATATGCCCCTCCCACCTCTCTACCTGTCATACCACCAGCATCCCCTTCTTGCTCAACCCTGGCTCTACTTCTCCGGACTCCTCGAGGGTTACTCTCAGACTTGGATGCCCCTCCTCCTACCTTCCTCTGGCTCTCCTCTCCTCCCACTCAGGGGGTCGTTGGGTGGGGACAGGGAAATGCTTAGGCCAGGACTGACTGTGCCCACCCCTTGGCAGTGCGGATGGCATGTACGAGGTGTCCTTCTATTCCAACGCGGTGGTCTCCTACGACGGTAGCATTTTCTGGCTGCCACCTGCCATCTACAAGAGCGCCTGCAAGATTGAAGTGAAGCACTTCCCATTCGACCAGCAGAACTGCACCATGAAGTTCCGCTCCTGGACCTACGACCGTACGGAGATCGACCTGGTGCTCAAGAGCGATGTGGCCAGCCTGGACGACTTCACACCCAGCGGGGAGTGGGACATTGTGGCCCTCCCGGGCCGGCGCAATGAGAACCCCGACGACTCCACGTATGTGGACATCACCTACGACTTCATCATCCGCCGCAAGCCGCTCTTCTACACCATCAACCTCATCATCCCGTGCGTGCTCATCACCTCGCTGGCCATCCTGGTCTTCTACCTGCCCTCGGACTGCGGCGAGAAGATGACCCTGTGCATCTCCGTGCTGCTGGCGCTCACCGTCTTCCTCCTGCTCATCTCCAAGATCGTGCCTCCCACCTCCCTGGACGTGCCGCTCGTGGGCAAGTACCTCATGTTCACCATGGTGCTTGTCACCTTCTCCATCGTCACCAGCGTATGTGTGCTCAACGTGCACCACCGCTCTCCCACCACGCACACCATGGCGCCCTGGGTCAAGGTCGTCTTCCTGGAGAAGCTGCCCACGTTGCTCTTCATGCAGCAGCCGCGCCACCGTTGTGCCCGCCAGCGCCTCCGCATGCGGCGTCGCCAGCGAGAGCGCGAGGGCGCCGGGGCCCTCTTCTTCCGCGAAGCCCCCGGGGCCGACTCCTGCACCTGCTTCGTCAACCGCGCCTCGGTGCAAGGCTTGGCCGGGGCTTTCGGGTCGGAGCCTGCGCCCGTGGCCGGCTCGGGCCGTTCTGCGGGACCCTGTGGCTGTGGCCTCCGGGAAGCGGTAGACGGCGTTCGCTTCATTGCGGACCACATGCGGAGTGAGGACGACGACCAGAGCGTGAGTGCAGCGCCAAGACGCTGAGGGGTCGTGAGATGGGACTCCCCAGGGATGGGATGGGGCGCGGGGATCAGGGGTCGGGGTACCCAGAAAGCAGGGTGCCGCTCAGACACAGAAAGCTGAGCACAGGGTAAAAGAAGGGTGCACCAGGCCTGTGCTGGGGGCCAGGCGCTGCCCTGGGCCCTTCTGGGTTGCTTACCGAGGCTGCAGGGCCTGAATCACAGGTCGGCTCAGATGACCTTGCCTCTGCCTGAGGACTAGCCTCCAGGGGAAATGCCTCAGCTGGAGCATCTTTAGTGTCCAGAGGGCAGCCTGGAATGGAAAGGAGGCCCTTCTGGGTTGGCAGCTGGCCTGTGGCTGTCAGCGAGTCCTTCCCGGCAGCTCACATTACCACCTCCAATTGCTAATCTGCAGCTCTTGCACAAATGGAGATGAGTCCTTCATGCACCCCTTGGGGAGCCAAATTGAGGACAGTAGGGATGTGTATGTGGGCGGTGTCAGGTGGGGGCAGGGTTAGGAGGTTCCATGGACCTGCTCCTCACAGAGAGGAGTCCCAAGTCAATCTCTCTTTTCTATTCTTTTGGGTTCCTGGGAACAGTCTTGTGAAATAGTTTTGGAGATAGGGGTGGCTAGAAAGGGGGGCTTGCAGCCTCCCTCACCCCCTACAACACACACTCCTTCTGTGCCTTTGGCTTTGGCTTTTTCTGCAGCCGCTCCCCGAAAGGCATTGCTTGGGACTGAGCCAGGCGCTGGGGGAAGCTGGTGGGTGACATCCCGCAGCCCTTTGGGCAGCATCTGGCCCGCCCTGTAGTCGTTCTCCAGGTAGCTGGTTGGTTCCAGGCCAAGGCTCAGCTGTGCCATGATAACTGGCCAGGCTTCCTGGGCGACTCTACCATTCCTGTGGGGGATGAGATGGTGCCACTGTTGGTGTGGGTGGGTTGGGGGTTTCACAGGTATTTCATATTTCCTTGGATGGCAGGAAATTGGGCTGGAGCTAAAGCTTGGGTTAGGGAGCCTAAGACTAAGAGGGGCCTGAGACTGGAGAAGATGGGGTGGGAGACTGAGAACAGCTGGGGCCAAGTGGGAGAAGCTGGGGTGCAGGGCTGAGCAGCTGCTGTGTCATGTCCTCCGCCCTCCTGCCGCAGTCCACTGCCGTGTGCATTTACTGAGCTGGGTGCTGGGGTGCGGTGATCTACTTGGACGACTCACAGGCGTCCCCAACTCAACACATCAAGACAGAGCGCATGGTCCCACCACCAGCTTTCTCCCAGCATCAACATCTTTTATCAACGGCATCGAGGTTGATCCAGTGGTAGACCCCGCACTGGAGATATCTCTCACTCCTGTCTTTCTCACCTCCGCCACCATCCAAGTCATCGGAAGTCCTGTACTGCGAGCACCATCTCCAAAATAATCCTCAACTTCATCCTTTTCCCACCATCCTGGCTGTAGGCCACCTCAATTCTTGCCTGGACCAGAGAAGAATCTCCTAATAGTCCCCCTGATTCAGCGCCCGTGCTCCTGTGGCCAGACAGACAAGACTCTCCTCAGCTTGTGACTTCTCCTTCTCCTCAGCTGGTTGGCTTCTCTGGCTGCCCTTAGAACCTTTGCATATATAGGTCTCTCCCTGGAATGCCTTTCTTTTTTCCCTCTAAAAATCATCACTGTTAGACGCAGTGGTAAATCCTCATAATCCCAGTGACTCGGAGACTGAGGCCAGTCTGGGCAGCTCAGTGAGACCCTGTCTCAACATGAAAAATAAAAAGGGCAGGAGGTGTAGCTCAGTGTAGAGCACCCCTGGGTTCCATCTCCAGGACTGCAAAACAACATCGCCCAAATCCCCAAAAAGTTATTGCTGCTGTTAGTTTTTGCCCTATTATTTGAAAATAAGTTTCAGACACCGTGACCCTTTATCCCAGATACTTCAGTGTGTTCCTCCTAAGAACAAGGACACTCTCTCACATAACCCAGGCTCAGAACTGGGGGTGCAGCTCAGTGGCAGATCAGTGCTCACCATGTGTGGGACCCTGGGTTCCGTCTCTAGCACCACAAACAAATGACAAACAAAAAACCCCCAGGTTCAGTGATTAAATTCAGGAAATTTACCACCAACACCTTTATCTAATATAAAGTACCCATTCAGATTTTTCCAGTTGTCCCTGCACGTCCTTCATAGGATCACCTTCCACCCCCACCCCAATCCAAGGTCTCAAATTGCGTTTGGTTGTTGCTTTAGTTTCCTTCAATCTGGAGTTGTCCCCCAGCTGGTCTCTCACGGCATAGACATTTTCAAAGTGCACAGGCCGGGTGGAGTTCCCTCTGCTTGGGTTTGACTGTTTTTCATCCATGTATCCCCGAAACAGCTGGCTCTCTCTTGCTCAGCAGATCTTAACTTAAATGTCACCTCCTCAGAGAGACTATCCCAGGCCACGTTCTGAATTAGATCCTCCTCCATTTCCCTACCTCAGTCCTTCATATCCCACAAAGTGTGAAATTTCCTATTCTGACTTATTTTTGTCCCCGCTCCCATCGTAGACTCTCGCTGCAGTAAGCATCCGTCGTGCCCAGTTGTACCCCCGGTGCCCAGCATGGCACCAGGTGTGTAGGAGGCACGATTGTGATGCGAATGAGTGATAATTTAGCTGCTGGGCCCCAGAGAAACATGTGCAGAGGCCCTGACTCAGGCCACCAGGAGCAGCCCCAGAGAGAGGCTGCCCCAGAGAGAGGCTGCCCCAGAGAGAGGCTGGCCCCAGAGAGAGGCTGGCCCCACCTGCAGGCCCTGAGGCTGACTCTCAAGCCCCAGAGAGCATTCTTTTTCACTTACAGGTTTACATCTCAGACCTGGTGGTGACCTTCTGGGGCCTCTGTGCTTCAGGTGGTGCTGTGGACAGTGCTCCCCATGCAGCCATAAAGGAGCGCAGCCCGAGAGGCAGCCCTCCACTCACCCATTCAGCACCACTGACTGGATTCTGTTTCAGAAACTGGGGTTACAAAGTGGAATCAGGCAGGGTTCCTGTGACTTAGGACCTTGTAGCTGAGTGGGAAGACACACCTACAAGTCAAAACAATTCAGTGAGTACAGTGAAAATGTGGGGATGGAGATGGTAACGGAGTGCCCAGGAAACCCACCGCGGACAGTGTTTCACTGTGATCCAGGGCTCAGGGGAGCCTCATAGGGAAGGTGATATTTCATTTGGGCTTTGAAGGATGTATAGGAGTTCACCAGGAGAGAAAGGTCAGGATTTTATTTTTCTTTCTTTCTTTATTTTTTAAAATTTGTTCTTTTTAGTTACACCTGACAGTAGAACATATTTTGACATATCGTACATACATGGATTTTAACTTCCCATATTTGTGGTTGTACATGATGTGGAGTTACATATGTACTCATACATGAACATAGGAAAGTTATGTCTGATTCATTCTACTGTCTTTCCCATTCCCATGCCCCCTTTCCCCCCCACTACCCCTCCTCCCTCTTCCCCACCCATCGTGAGTCAGCATCCACATATCAGAGAGAACATTTGGCCTTTGGTTTTGGGGATTGCCTTATTTCACTTGGCATGATAGCCTCCAGTTCATCGGCTTCCCAGCAAATGCTATAATTTCATTCTTCTTTATGGCTGAGTAATATTTCATGGTGTATATGTACCAACTTTTCTTTATCCATTCATCTGTTTCAGGGCATCTAGGTTGCTTCGTAGCTTAGCTATTGTGAATTGAGCTGCTATAAACATTGATGTGGCTGTGTCACTGTAGCACGCTGATTTTAAGTCCTTTGGGTAAGGGTCAGGATTTTCCAGACACAAAGGAAAATGAAGGGCATGGAGACTTGAGAGAACGTGTTGGGGTTTGGTAAACTTGGACTATGGGGTGGAAGAAGAATAGAAGATAGGCTTCTACTTATCGTGGGTAGATCTTGATTCTAGACCTGGGGGTGGGGCCCGAGGACAGTGGGGCCACTGGAGGCTTTTAGTCAGTTAAGACCAGAGCCGTGCTTTATTTAGAAAGGCCACTCTGGGGTCTCTGGAGGACAGGAGTGCAGTGGGTGTAGGGGTGGTGGGACCTCCACCCCAATCTGTTAGGGTGAGATTGCAGTAAATCCCTGAGTCGATCCTAAAGCGGGAGACGGAACCGTCTTTCTTCCCCAGCTGGTGGGTGGGGGGCAGGCTGCAAGTCTGCACCCTCCGACCCCCTCTGGGGGTTTGAGTGCAGCCTCCATACCATAAGGAAAGCATGTCAGTGCATTACTCCTAAGTGGCTGTTGTGGGATCCAAGACCATAAACAAACATGAGATCTAAAACCATAAGCAGAAGGGGAAGTGGGTCAAAACGTCCCTGGTTGAATACAGGTTAAAGAACGGTCACTAACGTCTAGACGATCGTTCTCTGACAGGGTGCATTGGTCCAAGGAAAATGGGAACCAACGAGAGCTACTTTACTTGTGTAAGAATTGCCATTTGTGTTGCCAAACATGCTGTCTAAGCAACTGCTGGTGGGCACGGAGGCGGGCCGTCCCACGGCAGAAGCAGTTCTTGCATGACCTGGAGTCTCCGGTAAAATGGAGTCTGTTTGGTCGTTGCCCACTTAGCCTGGCCCGCAGCAATCCCACCCATCCCGCGTCCTGTGACTGACACCTGGCTCTCCTCCCCCCCATCCAGGTGAGTGAGGACTGGAAGTACGTGGCCATGGTGATCGACCGTCTGTTCCTCTGGATCTTCGTCTTCGTCTGTGTCTTTGGCACCATCGGGATGTTCTTGCAGCCTCTCTTCCAGAACTACACCAGCACCACCCTGCTCCACGCGGACCACTCGGCTCCCAGCTCCAAGTGAGCGGTGCGCAGCCCCCTCCTCCTCCAGCCCTTGACCCTGGTGTCCGGTAGCCGTGGTTGGAGGTGGATGAGTGGGCTTCCAGGAAGAGGGGTGCTGTCCCCCAGAGCCGTCCTCTCACCTCACGTGGAGCCCCGACACTCCGTCTCCACATCTGGGCCTGCAGAATGGGAGCGGCTGCATTTGGGCTTCTCCTCTCACCACCCCTGACAGTGACGTCAATGTGGAGGACCGGGGCACATGGAGGACCGAGAGGCCAGAGCCCTCCCCCCCTGAGGAGGGGGAGAGGGAAGGGCCAATAGGGGACAGAGTCACCCAAGTCCTGGGAGAGGGGCCATATGGCAGGAGGGGCAGTGGCACAGGAGCTCAGAAGGGAGGAGTAGAGCAGAGAGTGGAGCCTGGTGTGACCTGATGTCCACCCCTGTGTCAGTGGACAGCAGCCCGGCTGGGTAGGCCTCCTGGCATCTGAGGTTCCTGCACCGAGGGCTTAGCCCGGGCAGGCCTCCAGCTCAGTCCACAGCCAGTGCCCCTAGGGCTCCAGAGTCCATCCCCACCCCCGCTTCTGCCCAGTGGAGGACCCCGCACCTCCTGGCCTTCCCTTTCCTGCTCAGGCGCAGGGTGAAATGGGCAGAGCCAGGTTATCAGGGGAGCTCCGAGTTCTGGATCTTTGGGTGCTTGGAGTCTGAGGCCCAAGCGATTGAACTGTGTGAGAAGTGCACGTTCATAAGCTCTGGGAGCTGGAAGAACCTTTTACAGTCACGGATCCCAAAAGAGGCCATGTTCTAGATGGACAAACAGAACCAGAGGTGGGATAAGCTTGGGAGATCTCTGGCCCTTCCTCCCACCCGAGGCCCATCCGACTGGGCTGCCCTGTGACCCCTCACTTTGAACTGCGTGAAGAGAGGGATGTGAGGACCTTAGCCCGCCGGAGCTGAGCTGGTAGGAGAGCTGCCTGGGGAAGCCACCTGGGCAGGACGGCCAGGTCAGCACTGTACCTGCGGAGACTCCTTCCCTTCCCCCTCTTCACTAACCCCAGTAGGTTGACACAGAAGTGCAGGAGGTCAGGCGTGCTGCTTCCAGTGTCCCCTCCCACAGGAAGCAGGACTTCTGCTGCCCATCCTGGGGTCCCTGCAGGCTGCATTCTGGCACGGCTCCCAGGGTCCTCCTGCTGGAGGCCACCTGACCCATTAGCCCAGGAAGCGGATCTATTAAGGGACCTCCTGTCCCTGCCCCCACCGTGTGGGGCTTGGATCTGTGGTCCCAGTCTGTGTTTGGCGCTGGGCCAGCAGATGGCCGGTCATAGAGACGTCAGTCTGCCATTGCTCCCCAGGGATGGGGCCTGACCTGGTCATTCAGTGCTCTGAGCCCAGTGGGATCTGCTGCTTCTCCAGGCACAGGGGACATGGGAGGCTTGCTGATGTGTGGGTGGGAGGGGACACTGCACAAAGAGTGCTGGACAGGGATTCCGGAAGCAGAGTTCTAGGCTCCGCTCTGGTACGTACTCATTGAGCCATCCCCAGCAAGCCCCTTTGCCCATGTGGGCTCTGCCTCCTTGTCTAGAACTGCAGGGTCGCTGAGGGTGAAGGGTGCAGCGTGCTGCATCCGCGGGGCCACTGGAGCCTGCGGGTGGGCCGCCTGATGGCATGCCAGCCTTCCTCCCAGACCCGTGCTTGCCCTGGCTCCTCCTGGGGCAACCCACGTCTCCCTAGCCGGGCTTGGATCAGAGGAGCTGGGAGGGGCGTGGAGGCTGCTGGGGAGCACCGCCCCGGAATCGTTGAGTGAGTCTGATGGTGAGGGCTTCTCTCTGGAGTGTCCGCAGCCAAGCTTCGTTCCTTCCCTGGGCCGATTGCTGGCCTGGCCCCGCCTCCCTTAAAGGTCAGCTCCTCCTGATGCAGGTGTAAGCTCGGGGACAGCTGACCTAGTCCCAAAGGTGGAAGAGCATCCTGGGACCTGACATCAGCGGCACATTTCTCCACCTGTCAGATTGTGCCTGTGGACCTCTCTCCTGGAGGCAGGGAGTGTTCCTGAATCCTGACGACGCCCCTCTTCTAGAACAGACCACAGGAGGGTCGCCTGTGTTATGCCCAGACCACTCCAGACGCAGAGCCCTGGGGAGGTGTCCTAAAACAGCTACTGGAAGGGAGCTCCCCCCGCAGCGAGTAGGGTGCCAGCTTGCGGGGGCCCTGCCAGCTGCTACTGGGGTCATGTGAACCTATTTTGTGGCTCTGCAGATCCAACGCAGGCCTCCTCACGCATTCTAGGTGAGCAATCTATCACTGAAATGCAGCCCCACCCTTTAATGCTTCTGAGCGGCTGTTGTCCAGGTTAGTGACCAAACTGTGCTCGAGGGGGTGTTAGTGAGTAGTCTGACTCCTCTCCATGTCCCATTTGTCACACTGGGAAACTGAGGCCCCGAGGTCATTTGCTGTCTGGTCTCATGTAGGCACCGCTCTCTGAACTTGCTGTTCTGCATGTGTACGGCAGGATGGCAGCGGGCAGGGGCTGAAGAGGGGAGGAAGGAGGTCAGTGTATGGGACTTTGTCCACTTTGGGGGTAGCCCCTTTGGGGACCATTGCAGTAGGGAGGAGGGGAGGGCAGAGGTGGTGAAGGAGGGCCCCACTGCCCGGGCAAGGAAATGCCACATGTCGGTACCGTGGGAGCCCTCAAGGACATTGGCAAATTTGGGGAACCACAGTTCCTCTTCCTCAGGTCCCACACCCTCTTCCCTTGGTGGTGCCAGGGAGCCCCTGTCTCCTTTCCATGGTGGGGCTGCACCTGGGTACAAGGCTCAGCGCTAGGCAAGGATGAGCAGGCCCTGGAGCTGAGGAGGGGGTAGACAAACTGCATGGGGACCTGGGACAAGGACTTGGGAGGAGGCAGTGAGAGGAGATGGGATCACCCATCAGAGTGACCCGGTCACAGTGACTTGGTGGCCATCTTTGGGAAGAAGGTGTGCACAGGCTTTCTGCCTTGCTTGGCAGCCCTGGCAGCGAGGTGTGCAATCCTCCAACAGCTGGTGCCAGGTTATTGAAAGTTAAAAGCCAACAAGATGCAGGCATCTCCCCAGATGGCATGTTCCGCAGGTGGGCGTCTGCGGAGGAAGGGCAGGGCCATTCCCTCCAAGGAAATAGGATGACTGGGGCTTAGACCCCTGTTTCCGCCTCTCCAAATCCCAGGGTTAGCTACCGCTTACCCAGGGTCTGTTCTGGGCCAGGCCCTTTAGATGCACTGTCTTTATTCCTCAAAATAGTCCTGTGGGGAGGGCCCCAGTTGGCAGAAGAGACCAAGTGACAGCTGATGGGTGGTGCTGGCCCCTCAACCCAAGAGTGCCCCAACGTCCAGGCATGTGCTATGGCCCTTGAGGAAGAGGAAGGTGGCGGGCATCCAGAGCCTTCTCTGAATCGCTCCCCATGCCAGAGTGAGTTGGTTCCTGTTGTCACCCTCTGCTTCTAGGCAGCAGTGGATTGTAGCATTCTTCACAGCACAAAGAGCACTGGCCAGCCTCCCGTCCACTCACCCTGACCAGACAGGACAGTCACCTTTTAATAGTTATCCCAACAGGTCTAAAAGGTGGGTGCGATAGTCACATTGTTCCTGAGGGACTTTAGCTCTAGAAATCTGTAGGACACCTCACTCACCCCCACCCCGCTGCCCGCCTCCCCACGGCGCCCTTGACCTCCTCTGTCTGCGCGCCTGGAGTATCTGCACTGGTCTGGCCCGCCCCTGGCTGGACTCACTAGGAACTCAAGATTCTCGTAAAGAAAGTAGTTTCCAAAGACACCTTGTCCTCCTGTTCTGTTTGGGGCTGTGGGGGGTGGCTGGGCATCCTCAAGGCCCTGGCTGGCGAACGTGGGAAGGGGAGGGTGCTGGAGAAATGGAACTCGGGGGTCAGAGATGTGACGCAGTCCAAGAACAGGGGACGGGAACAGTCTGCTGCTTTACAAGCCCACTTATCAACTGGAAAGGGCACAACGGTCGAGCTGGAAGTGGCCAGAGCCCAGAAGTGGCCCTTGGGGGGGGACCTTTTTTGAGGACTAGTCTTTTGGAGGCACCTGGATGAAATGCTGTGTGGGTCACAGTGAGGGAGAGCTGAACAACTCTGCAGCTGTTTTCGCACAAAGCAGTCCTGCCTCCTCGCCCACGGTGCTGAGGCTGAGAGGGCCCTGGCCTCAGGCTTTAAGGAAATTTTCCGATTTCCTCTGTAACATTGGCTTTGAACTCAGGCTCACACCTTAAGCACCTGCCCTACCATGGAGTTATACCCCCAGCCCAGGAAATGGTCTTGGGGGTTGAACCCAGGAATGCTCTCACACGGGGCTGCATCTCCAGCCTTTTTTAATTTTTTGAAACAAGTTTTCACTAAGTTGCTGAGGCTGGCCTCAAACTTGTGAACCTCCTGCCTCAGTCTCCTCAGTTGCTGATATTACAGGCGTGTGCCACTATGCCCAGGGAACGTGTCCACTTTCTAAAAGACATGGGTCTCTCCCTTCTAGTGGAACCAGGAGCTGCCCAAGGACAGAGGCATCTATACCATTGGAGACATTATCCTGCACTCTCTTTAAAGAAAAGTTTTTCCGTTCTAGCAATAAATTTCAGCAACTGTTAGTGACACTATGAGGAGTCCTTGTCTTTATGTGTTGTGTCCCAACACGCTGAAGGCTCCCTGGCCTCAGACCCAGCCGTATCGAGGATGAGGAATGAGGTTTTGTTGCGACCTAACTAAGCTCCCTGTTAGGTGCTTTATGTCCTCTGACATGATGTCATTGTTAAAAAGTCAAGGATGCAGCGGCTTGGGAGGCTGAGGCAGGATCTTGAGTTCAAAGCCATCCTCAGCAACTTAGTGAGGGCTTAAGCAGCTTAGCAAGACCCTGTTTCAAAATAAAACATGAAAAGGGTGGGATGTGGCTCAGTAGTTAAGTGTCCCTGGGTTCAATTTCTGGTACCAAAAAAGAAAAAAAAAAAAAAAAGTCAAGGATGGGTCTTCTAGAAATTCAGGAGTAAGTTACAATGTGGAAAGAGGTGAATGTCCTTGAAATTCAAGATGGAGAGATCTGGGATGCCTGGTCTGCTGAGAAAGGCGAACGTCTCCTAAGACTGCAGCTAAGCCTGCTCAGCTCCCCAGCTGCAACTCCGCTCCAAAGTCGGGCAGCTGGGAGGGGGGAGTGTGAGGGAGGGAACACCCTCAGGGAGAGCTGGAACTGTGAATCTGTCACATACCCTCTCAAGGGATGTTTCCTCCTAGGCCTGGAAGTCCCGCATGGCCACCTCCCTGAGGACAGTACAGTTAGTGGTGGGCTCTCGTGGTGTGGAGCCGGGGAAGTACTTTGGAGGTGCCTGATGTACCCTACCCCACCCAGTGGAGGCTTCTTTCCTCAGGCTGAGGGACTGAGGGACAGCCCTCTCCCCAGGTTCTGTCTGATGCAACTGGTGCTGTTACCAGAAATCCCAGGACTCAGGTCCCTCTGTTCCCACCTCCCCGCCCCCAAGAGACCAAGACATGAAGCTCTCTAAGGATTCAGACTGTTCACTGTTTTTATTTCAGAGGAATGTATACTGTGAGTCACTTGAAGGTAGACACAAAAAGCAGAGTCATGAAACTGGACTGCAGCCTCCCCGGCACCAAGGCTATGCCCGGGCTCTTCCCCACTCTGCTCTTGGAGTCACTGTCAAGACCCCAAAGCCAACAGAGTCCTTTCAACTTGAGTAAAGGAAATAGCTTCAAGCATCAACAATTTTTACAAGTGATTATTCAAAGATAATGCACAATAGCCACAGTTCAGACAAATCAACTACAAAAACCATTAAAGAAAGGAGGGAGGGGTCTTGCTTGTTAAAACAAAGATTGGACAGAAGTGAACACAGGGGGGATGCTCTGCCCCCCCCTCCTGTGTGACTGAGGGGCGGGGCCTGGGACGCGGGGGGCGGGGCCTGACACGGCTCAATTCCAGCAGGGTGTGGAGGGCAGGGGTGCTTCTCGCTTTCTTCTTACAGCAGAATCTGAGTATGACAAGTTTGCTAGATAAGATCCTGGGGGCGAGTGGGGCTCTGATCTCTTGAGAGCCCCTGTGCTCCCAGTGATGGGGTAGGGGACCGCTGAGTCAGATCTCTGCCAGAGATTCTAATGCCCAAGGCAGACGGAAGCTGCCAGACATCCTGAGGAACTGGTAGGTAGTCATCCTCCAGCCGGGAGGACCTGTCCCGGAGCCACAAGATCACCCTGCCCCCACACAGTGAGCACTGTCACTCCGCAGGTCAGCACTGAAGTCACATGCCTTCAGCTAATACCCCAAGCTTGGCAATACTCACAAAGCCCCGGCCCCTTCTCCCCCAGAGACAGGCCCCATTTCCCCACCAGTTCCCTTGGGATGCTTCAGTGTCCCACAAAGACATCCTTAGTGTCTTTTTAAAAACCTGCATTATTATTTCAGTTTTTGGTCACAGGTACAGAAAGTAGCCAGAGAGATCAAAGTGCAAACACAGACATAGCCACTACTGAAGAGGTGGGCCAGACCAGGTGGGGAAGCAGTTTGCGGGTGGGAGGCGGAGTGTGGGAAATCATTTGCGGGCACTGGCTCGGCCAGTCCCAGAGCCATCTGACACGACGAGGCCCTGGGATGGATGGAAAAGGCCGTCTGCATTTTAAATCTGTGCGACCGCGGTTGAGAACCAACGTCTCTGGCATTCTTTAAAAGAGCCCTAATTCTACTGGGTTTAGTCAACTTCCCTTGGATCAGTGCTGAGAAATATTGAACTGCACAGAACAACGATTTGTCCCAACATGATTTCTGCCCTATTCTTGCTAAGTCCTAACTATCTGAGCAGACGATTTACCCTCTAAGAATTGTCCTGAAGTTTTTCACACTAGTTTACTGGGGTCTATGGGCTTATGGGCAGATGGGAGCTTGGCAGTAGCCCAAGGAACGTCTGTCTGTGCCCCTGGTAGTGGTCTGTGTCACTCTGCAGGGGGGACCGCCTACGGCGTGGGTAACTTCCTAGCCCGTCTGCTGGTTCTCAACTTCCTGCTGCCCCGGGAAGGGATGCGCTTCGCCAGCAGCGGCTTTTTCCTGGCTACAGTGCAGGTTCCCACTGCTGAGCAGGGTTCGCAGATTCCAGTCCCACTTCCATTGGCACTGGTAGTTAATCTGCCGTAGTCTTCAGTTCCTGCCCTTGTAAATATTTCACCTAATTCCTGAAGTCCACCTCTTTACCCTCCAGGGTGGGAGGAGAGACTCAGTGATCACAGGTAAGAATCTCAGAAGCCGGGGGTGGGAAATAGAGGGGCCTGTGGGATCCATAAACGAGATCCTTGGTCCCTGACACGGTTCACAGAGAACTGACTGGAACCTGATCAAGTCCGCGAGAGGTCAGTGTAGAAACACACCCACAAAAAGGAAACGGGAAAACAAAGCTCAGGAGGAGATGGGCCACAGGGGCTGGGTAGGTCAACCCCTTTCTCTGCCTGTAGGTCTCTGCCTCTCACTTGAAGTAAGAGAAGGGGCCTGGCCAGATTCTGCCTAGAAACCCCAAAGAAAGCAGGATAAAGGGAACCCAAAGTTCTCAGTATCTCTAATTATGGTTCCATTAAAAAAAAAAAAGGTGGGGGTTAACCCCCCCCTCGGCCAATGTGATGAGGAATGCCAGGACCCCCCCTCCCCGCCAACCCCCAGCCTCAGTCGTTGGGTACGGGGCAGAGATAGAAGTTCTTCTCCTCCTGGGGTTTGCTTATCCAGTTTCCGTAACCCATGTCCTTGAGGCTCTTTTTGAAGTAGTTCTTGTTTATCTCATAGTCGCGGGCGGCTTTCTTGGCCTCACCGTAGGAGAGTTTCAGTAAGTCCCTGCGGTACCGGAAGGAGCAGAGCTTCTTAAACAGAAGAAAAATGTTCTTTTTCGATACCCGCGACAATTCATTTCGTGGCCTGGGGAAACAAAGGCACTGGTTATTCACCTGGGACAGGGGAGTGGGAGCCACTGGGGACACCCGTGGTGGGACGCGGCCCTAGCTCTGGAGAGGATCCTGCTTGCCCTGCACCCTCCCCCTTCCTTACCCGTCCACGGTGCCCCTGGTACCATCCAGGATCTCCAAGTCGAAGCCGTCAGCCAAACACCAGTTGACGCTCGTCTCCTTAGTCTTCCCGGATTGCCTCTTGGAGTCATACACACTGACTCGGCCAACCTGGGAGTCCCAGGAGTGAAGAGAGAGAGGTGGACACCATTCAGGGCTAAGTTCTGGGAGCAGGGACTCCCGAATCATGGGGAAGAGGGAGGTGGGCCACGGTCTCTCCCTTGATTTAACATGGCTTGGTTACACCGGAGCACACTCTAGAAGTACTCTCCACCTCGATTCAGATCGTGTCAGGCTAGAGGAGGAAAGCCCTTGGCCCTCCGTCCCCACTCATCCGGGCAGCCTCTCAGGCACTTCCTGTCTGTAGAACTCATTTATTCTGGATATTTCATAGAAATGGAGTCACACAACGTGATCTTTTGAGACTGGCTTTTTGCGCTTAGCCTGACGTTTTCAGGGTGACCTCACTGTGGCTGGGTCAATGCTTACTTCATATCATGGCCAAGGACAGTCCCTCGCATGGATGTGGCGGTTTTACTTTTCTGTCATGGAGGGGAGGGCGCTGGCCGTGTCCCCTGCCCGGCTGCTGTGAAGGCGCCCGAACTAGCCAACCATGGCTCCCTTGACCATATTTTTGCTCCGCTGATGGGAATGCTTGAAAAGGGGAGCAGGACAGGGGCACAGACCTTCGGGTGGTTGACAACAAAGGGGTATCGTAATCCAGCCTCAAACGCACTCCCGTCTCTTGTCACACGACAGCAGATAGCCCGGGTCAGATGTCCTTGGCTGAAAAGGTACCCTGGGTATAAAAAAAGAAAGTAAAAACAGAAACAAAAACCCATACATCTGTGTTTTCACCAAAGCTATGGAGAAGCTGAGGCCCCCAGGGGGCTGGAAGGTATAAGGCAGAATTGTCAGGACAGAGAGCCCCCGACAGGCAGGGCCTCTAACTGTGGCAGCACAGGACACACAGGATCATCAAATATTGAAGCACAAAACAGAATGTTTCGGGTCAGGCCAAGGACTGAGGAGAACAAGGAAAACCAGATGCTGCTGCTGCCATCGGCCGCGTTTCTCCGACCCGTCTTGGAGACTGGCCTGGCCCCCCTCCTCGGCCGCCTGGCCACCCTCCGGCCTGTGCAGGCCGGCACCCCCTGCTGACGACGGGGCCGAGCTCACTGTGGAAAGGGGGTTGACTGAAGCATGAAGTTTTCTGGGACTGGGGTGGAGAAGGACAGGTGGGTTCCAACTCCCAAGGCAGGTCCCTTACCCAGTGTGACAGATTTGAGATACACAGGGTGTAGGAAGTGGGTCAGCAGTGCCCCTTGCAGGCCCAGCACGTTCCAGCGTAGGATTTTGTCACTACAGGACATGGTGCGGAGTCTCTCCCCAAGCCGGATGCCATCCCACGTAGGCACAATGTCACTGGACTCCACAGGGATGGTGCCTTCCCCTGTGTGAGAGACTCGGGTCAGATCCACAGAGGCCACCAAACCACCCCTAGCGCGGGACTTGAGCTCCTGAGGCCGGGCCACCGGCAGCTCGGCCCTTCATTCTCCATGTGGCTCACAGTCCTGGAGGACACGGCGGTCACTGTGCTGGGAGCTGGGAAACACTGGGGAGCAGACCTCAGTGAGGTCCGTGCTGTCCCGCGGTGTTCACGGGGTGAGGGACAGAAAGGGAAAGGAGAGCACTAAGCAGATGCACCAATGAGCAGGTGGGAACTCCAGATGCTGACAGCGTGGGGAAGGCCTGTGGGAGAGCCCGGGGGGACGGCACCCCGAGCTCCTGGGTGGAGGAGGCAGGGAGCAGCTGGAGGGAGGAGAGTCCTGACCCATTCAGACAGGGAGCGAGCGGCAGAAGCCACGGCCTGAGGCAGCGAGGGTTTCGGTGTTTCGGTGTTTTGGGGGCACCAGAGAATCACCAAAGAGAAGACTGGGCAGGCTGAGGCCGGGAGGTGGGCTTTAAGTAGAGACAGGGTCTCGCTGAGTTGCTCAGGGCCTCGCTGAGGCTGGCTTTGAACTCGTGATCCTCCTGCCTCGGCCTCCGGAGCTGCTGGGATTGCAGGCCTGGGCCACTGCGCCTGGCTCGGGTTGCCTTCGTATCAAGGGCAGTGGGAGACCCTACATGGTGCTTGCTTTTTTTTTAAAAAATACCAGCTTTACTGAGATACAAGTCGTATACTACAACTCGCCATTGAAAGCAAGCTGTTCAGTGGCTTTGGGCGTTTCTGAGGTTATGCACCATGGGATCATACATCGGCACGATCAACCCCGACCCGACCTCGGCTGGCCCTCACTCCCACCTCCCTCCGTCCCCATTCATCCGGGCAGCCTCTCAGGCACTTCCTGTCTGTAGAACTCATTTATTCTGGATATTTCATAGAAATGGAGTCACACAACGTGATCTATTGAGACTGGCTTTTTGCGCTTAGCCTGACGTTTTCAGGGTGACCTCACTGTGGCTGGGTCAATGCTTACTTCATGTCATGGCCAAGGACAGTCCCTCGCATGGATGTGGCGGTTTTACTTTTCTGTCATGGAGGGGAGGCCGCTGGCCGTGTCCCCTGCCCGGCTGCTGTGAAGGCGCCCGAACTAGCTCTGTGTGGACCTGGGCTTTCACTTCTCCTGGGGATAGCCCAGGAGGACTGCTGGGCCACGTGGCGCTGTCCAGACTTCAGGGTGGCCAGCAGGGAACTGACGTGACCTGACTTGGGCTTGACAGTGACGCAGACGACTGCTGAAGCATGAAGGGAGCAGGGGTGACCGGAGGAGACACCGGGGAAGGAGACGCTGGGGGACAGGCAGGAAGGCGCGAGGGGGCAGGAGGCCAGGTCCGAGGCCACCAGACGGAGGGCCTGACTTTTCACTTCCGCCGCCCTCCCCCCCGCACTCTGCCTGTGCCCCCAGGAGGACACGCTCTGTCCTTCCTTCCCCCCCAGGCTCTCGACACCTGAGCTAACAAATTCAGAATGGAACTTCCCCTCCCTACAGTCCTCCCCCGTGACGAGTGGCGCACACGGGGGTCTCGCAGAGCCTGTGTGGCACTCACCATTCTCCACCTTGGTGCGCAGCTTGCCTTGTTTGGGATTCTCAAAGACAGGGTAGTGGCGGGAATCTGTGCTTTCCAGGGCGCGGTCACTGCAGGACTTGTCGAAGAGGGCGCCGTCTCCGCACGGGGCAGTGCTGCAACACAGGGGTGTCCGTCACTCACCTGCGCAGGAGGGAACTCCAACTTCTCGGGGTCCCTAGTCTGCTGCGGCTGGAGCTGGGATGTTGCCTGGAGCCCACCAGGGGATGCTGGAGGGGGCAGCTGTGTCTAGGACAGTCATCCTCCACTGGGGAATGTACCTCATGGGACCTCAGTGGAGCGTGTGGCCTGTTGCGTGGGGTCAGATTTAGGGGCCGGCAGAGCAGGTGGAAGCCCATCCTGGGAGCCCGGCAGGGTACAGACCTGATGTACAGGTGGAACGAAACAGTCTTTTTTATCTGGAGCTTCTCTCCTCCCCTGGCAAGCTCAAATATACTGTCCTTCGCAGTCTGGGGGTTGTATTTCATTAACTCACTGTAAAGGAACCTGTAAAAGACGTGCAGTTAGGACGGCAGCTTGGATTCTGGCGAGAGCAGATGGTGTTTGGAGCTGACCCCTATCTGAGCCCCAGGTGGGGACCAGTTTCCTGGTGCAGCTCTTCTAGCTTCTCAGGTGGGGAAGCTTCCCAGAGAGACCTCAGCACTTCATAAAGCACAGTGAGCCTTTCGGTCCGTTTCATTTCCGCCAAAGGCCCCTTGCTGTGGCGGCTGCAGGGACTCCAGGCAGAAGGAACTGGCTCAAGGCTTCGGGAGGCAGCTGCCTCTTTCCCGCTCCCTTCACAAATTAGAGAAAAGGTGAACCAGAGGAGAAGCCGCGGCGACACGAGGTGCTGATGGGTCCTCAAATGGAGATGGAGGCCGCCTCATCCCCAAGGCCCGAGGACCCAGGGTCACTTTGTTTTGAGAAACAGAAGACAGCGGAGTTGGCAGAAAAAAGGACTTAGGACCAGGCTGGGGGTGGGAGGCAGAGGGTCACAGAGGGGACTGGCTCTACGAGGGCTCAGATCACAGGATGAACCCGAAGGCCACCACTGCTGGCTCAGGGACCTGCCGTCTGCCGGGGTGTCAGGAAGGCCTGTGCCGGAGCCACCGTGCCCAGGTGGGCGGGGGCAGCCCCGGCAGGTGCTCGCTCACCTGATGAAGCCTCTCCGGGAGATGATCTCCGCATGACAGTCGTTGACGGTCTCTCCCTTGAGGCTGAGGGAGTCTCCTTTGACACAGCGATTCCCTGAAGGATTGGGAGCAAAAAGGGAAAGGTCAAAGGAGAAGGAGGGTGAAGTGGGTGGGGCAGTCTGTCTTCAGGCTCGGGGAGAACAGCCTCGACAGTCATCCTCTTACCTAGGGAGAAGGAGTCCACCCCCACCCTGAGCTGACTGCAGCTAAATGACACGCAGGTGAGTGTCCTTTACCCAAGTGCTCAGGACCACAGTGTTTCAGAGTCTGGAGTTGTTCAGATTTTGGAATATTTGCATGGAGTCTGCTAGTTGAGCATCCCTAATTTGGAAATCTGAAGTGTTCCAAAATGCAAAGCTTTTTTTTGGGGGGATGTACTGGGGATTGAACCCGTGGGCACTTAGCCCCTGAGCCACATGCCCAGCCCTTGGCAGTATTTTTTGAGAGGCAGGGTCTTGCTGTTGCTTAGGTCTTGCTCAGTTGCTGAGCTGGCTCTGAATTCTCCATCACCCTGCCGCAGCCTCCTGAGTGGGTGGCATTAAAGGCACCCTGGCACCTGGCCAAAATCCAGAGCTTTTTAAGATCCATGTCAGGACAAGGGGACGCGCGGCCTGTCCCCGGCCTTGGACTTGCTCACATGGACTCAGGGGAGGGTGAGGAAGACCTGCTTCCAGTCACTGAGAGGCTGGTGGCTCGGGAGACCCTCTCTCACCTGTCCCCAAGCTGACCACGACACCCATGTCCTCAGGGTCTTTCTTCATAATGATGGCGGCTAGGATCTTGCGGCCGAGCAGGGAGGGCTGGAAACTGTTTGTGAGGGTGTTGAAGCACCGGTGGCTCAGCATAGCTATCTGGTCGTGGAAGGTACTGCCAGTGAGAGGAAGCTGTGGGGACAGGGGGCTGTGAGGGTCATGCAGCCACGCCCGCGTCCACCATGCTTCACAGTGGGCAGGGGGTCACGTGCTAATGGACTCGTGCACTACCTTTCTTTCCCCTTTCACATCTAGTGTCCCAGTTATATGCTCTATTGAGGCTAGTAGCATAGCCAAGGGACAATTCACATGACAGCTAGTGACAAGCCAGCTCCACCCCCAAAACAAAAAGATAGCACCAAAAGTAGACGTCTTAACTGTCTTTGGCTGCGCTTCTGGGGACCTGGAGAGGAGGAGCATAGTTCTTCTGAGACTGGCCCCTGTCACTGGGGTTACCTCTGTGAAACCCATGCGCTCTGCCTTCTCGCTCTCCCCAATCAGGACGCGGAGGGCCGCATCGGCTGCTTCCTGCTTGCCTTGCTTCTTGCTGTGCGCGCAGACGGCTGGAAACCAGCGGCCCCCGACTTTCGCTTGGTAAATGAACCTTTGGGACGAGAAGCGAGAAGCGGGACACAGACAAACCAAGACTTGGACGCTGTTGCAGAAAGGGCTGGGCTGGCTTTCAGCGTGGCCCGCCTAGCAGACATCTGGACCCGTCCATTCTGACAGATGTTACTAAGGCAGCATTTCCCGGAGTTTGGTCATTCATGAATCGCAACATGATTTTTGCTAGCTCCAGATGTCCCGTGGACGACCATGAGGGTTTTCTCTACACTGATTCTTTAAAAATGCACACACATTGTTTATATATATATATATAAAGATGTTAACTTTTAGGGGCTGCGACTGTGGCTCAGCGATACAGCACTCGCCTAGCACGGGCGGAACCTAGGTTCGAGCCTCAGCACCACATTAAAAAATAAAGGCATTGTGTTGTGTCCATCTGCACCTAAAAAATAAATATTAAAAAAAATACACATACTTTTTTTTTTTTGTGTGTGTGTGTGTGGGGGTGCTGGTGGTACTGGGGATCGAACCCAGGGCCACTCCACCACTGAGCTATATCCTAGACTCTTCAACTTTTTATTTTCAGCTAAGCTGCCCAGGCTGGCTTTGAACTTGTGATCCTTTCGCCTCAGCCTCCTGAGTGGATGGGATTACGTGTGCCATTGTGCTCGACACACTTAAAAAGGAAATTTCACAGTGCTCAAAGGGAACACCAGTGCCATTTGCCATAAATTGAAGGTGGCTGTAAAGCCGAATGTGATAAAATCATAAGACTAATTCCGACTAGATACTGTACTATTATCTGCAAAGACTCCAGCCAGCCTGCCTTTACTAGAAAGGAAGATTAGGGAGTAATAAGAGGGTTTAAAGAACTACTAACACGAAATTTAGACTTTCTTCTTAAGCAGAAATGAGAAGCCAAGATCTCTCTCCCCACTTGAATCACTTACTTAACACTGTCTGATTTTAAAGTACCCAATCCCAGTGTCCCCTCCGTTCCTGACCACCTCACAAGGGTCAGCCTGGAGAGAGCATATCCACAAGCACAGCATTAGGCTGGGGAGCCAAGCTTTCTTGGGGAGTCAGCTGTGGATTTCTGCTGGGCCCAAGATGAACAGTGGGGCAGGGACGTGGTGGGGCAGGGACGTGGACCTGGGCTGGGCCCTGGGCTCCGATGATAGAGGAGGCAGGAGCCCAGCAGGCAGCGGCCCCCACCCTTCCTGGGGATTTCTGCAATCCCAGAGGGAGGGCATGACAGAGCAGAGCAGCCGGGAAACCCCGCAGACAAGTGTCAAGACCCCAGCTTTCAACCAGATCTGAATCCACCGCTTGGAAACAGAACTGGGCAGCACGAAGGCTGCGGTTCTGGATGCATCGGCTCCAGCTGTAGAAGAAACCGGTCTCCATGTTCAAGCACACGGAGAGTCCCACTCTTCTTTGGTTGTCCTAAGCAGCTGGTCCCTCCTGGCCGGCGGGCCAAGTTCAGAATGAGAGAGACTGAGGCATGAAGAGAGGTTGGGGAGTAGGGAACGAACTGCCAGGGGTCCAGGAGGATCTCATGACTGTTCTGCCTTTGAAAAGAATATGAACTCGGGCTGGGGCTGTGGATCGGTGGTAGAGCACTTGCCTAGCGTGTGTGAGGCACTGGGTTCGATCCTCAGCACCACATAAAAATAAATTAATAAAATAAAGGTATTGTGTCCAACTACTTCTAAAAATACGAACTCTTAGACATAGTTTTATATGTGTGACACCTGCATACATACATGCACACGTGTATATATACATATATGTACACGTATATGCGCACGCACACATATGAGAATGAGTTTGTTAATTATGTAATTTGAATCCTTGGGAATTGGCTATCCACTATGGTAGCCACACGAGGCTATTAATCAAAATTAAATATAATAATTCAGTCCCTCGATCAAGCTGGCACATTTAAGTGCTCAATAACCTCATGTGGCTGGTGGTTAGCCTTTTTAGCATGGTTGACTGTCCTGAGAGGCTTGGCTGTGAAGGAGCGGAGACCCAGGGTGTTCCTGGAGGGAGACCCAGGTCAAGGGAAGGTGTCCACAGGTCGGCCGTGTTTCCAGGCTGATGGCAAGGACCACCGATGACGAGGGGAGATGACGGAAGCAGGAAGCCCCAGAACAGACAAGAGGGAGGGCACGCAGGACTCAAGGGGAGGTGGAAGGCGCTTCCCTTGTGCCTAGGGGTAGAGCGAGGTTCAGAGGAGGGAGGGAGGTCAGGGGATTAAGACAGGCCTCTCTTACATGACGACCGTGGTTTCCTGAAGTGGGATGTAAGAGTATCAGTTCAGAGCGAGGACCGGGGTGTTGGTGGGAATCAGAGGCAAAGGTCCCAAGTGGTCCTCTCAGAGTGGGACAGGAAATCTGGCAGACAAAAGCTGGGAAAGCAGGCCAAAGTGTGGGACAGAAAAAGTGACCCTCGAGACCTGCAGTGGCCCTCCAGGGCTCCTGTGGTAAAGGCACTGACCTCAAGGCCAGCCCTAGGGGCCATCAGAGGGCCTCTCTCCTCGTCCACACGGGCTTCCCTCCTGCCCTCTGCTCACCCGCTGGCCTCCCCGTCTCTGTACCAGCTCTGCTCTCCTACCACAGGACGGGTGAGGACAGCCACCTCCAGTGTCCACGGGGCACTGGCCCCAGGACCTCTGCAGAACCGAGATCTGAGGCTGCTCAAGTCCCTGGGTGTCCTCCCAGGTCACCTACCCCAGCTGACACAGTGTAAGCGCTGTGGGAGCAGGTGCTACACTGCCCGGTGCAGGGAGGGTGGCAGGAAGTGGAAGTCTGGCTGTGGTTAGTACAGAGACAGACTCGAATTACATAATCAACGAATTTTAAAACATTTCATTCCACACTTGGTTGAACAGATGCGTGCAGAACCTGTGGATACGGAAAGCCAACTGTACTGTAGCCTTTGCCTAGAACCTTCTTCTGGGTTACCCTTAGGGTCTCAGCTCAGGGATCATTTCTTTGGGGGCCATCCCGCTCCCTAAATCTAGTCCTACCTCCACAGATCCTCACTGCCCTCTGAACTCCAGCTCTCTGTGACCCCTAGGAGACACAAGATCTCATACTTCTACTTAGGTGACTGCTGGTCACCATCTGGCTCCTATTCTAGCAGAAGGACCTCTGTAGGTATGTGTTGAGTGAATACCGCAGAGAGACCAGATGTGATCCAGGTGAGAGAATGCTACACTAGAGGTGGGAAGAAGAGCAGGAGACTTGGGATAGAAGTCAAAGGATAATTTGGTTGAAGGAGGTGAAGGGCACAGAGGAAAAGGTGATCCTTGGGTTTTTGGCTTGAACAGCTGGATTGATATTCACTAAGACGGGAAACACCTGATATTTACTAAGATGGGAAAGGCTGGAGGGAAGGAGGTTAAGAAAGCAAAAATCAAGATCTGTGCTTTGAACATGTCATGTCGGGGAGGCCAATCCAAGTCGAAGGGACACGTGAACAGCTGGATGGAGGAATCTGGGGTGTGAGAAGGTCTGGGCTAGAGGTGTGTGTGTAGTGCTCTACGGCATTTAGATACTAGCAGCTGGCTGAGGTCATCAAGAGAGAAAGGAAACGGAGGACCCAGCTCAATTCATATGAGAAGGAAGCAAAGTATATTACTGCCTGAGATGCTGAGAAAACGTGGCTACTACATTAGCGTTTCCTGTCCTATAAGCCACCTGCCTTGATTTCCCAGGAGGAGCTGGCAGCAATATCCTGTGTCCCCATGGCACACTGCATGTCCCTCCATACGGCACATTCCAACTCTGTGTTACGGTCACACATCCTGCACACTTGGGGCAGCAATTCTTCACATTCTCAATTTAGTTGATAATAAGTCCTTGTGTTTTGAATGAATGAGCCACGGAGTTTCAGAAAGGATTTCATAGAAGATAAAGAGGAAAAGCCGGGCATGGTAGTGCATGCATGTAATCCCAGTGTCTCAGGAGGCTGAGGCAGGAGCATCACAAGTGCAAAGCCAGCCTCAGCAACTTAGGGAGGCCCTGAGCAACTCAGTGAGACCCTGTCTCTAAATAAGAACATAATAATAATAATAATAATAATAATAATAATAAAGGGCTAGGGATGTGGCTCAGTGGTTGAGGGGAAAAAAAAGAAGGAAAAACACTGAACCTATTACATAAAGAAATTAAAGGAATGAATTTAAAGGAAATGAGTTCTGCTGGGCATGGTGCTGTACACTATAATTCTAGTGACTCAAGAGGCTGAGGCAGAAGATCACAAGTTTGAGGCCAGCCTCAGCAATTTAGTGAGACCTTGTCTCAAAATAAAAAAATAAACAGTGCTGGGGATGTGGCTCAGTGGTAGAGTGCCCCTGGGTTCAATCCCCAGAAGTGGGGTGGGAGGCTCTGGGGGTTTATTCAGACTGAAGGATATGAAGCAGTAAAGAGCAGGAGGGAGGCTGATCTTCCCTTCCAGAAGGTTCAACAGTGGGCAATGCATCCTGCCACAAGGGGGCAGTGGAGAGCCTTTGCTGCCCTCCTAGCCTGAGGGCTCTGTTGGGTTACGCTGGTCAAGGGTTAAGGTTTCTTATTATGTTAAAAGCTCTAACTTGCTAATGAAGAGTAATGATCCAAAAGAAAACTGGATAAGGACAGAAAAGGTATTTCACATAAAAGTAAATGCAAATCACATGTAAACACTAATAAATGAATGTCGTTACTCTAAAAACAAAATGTATAACAAGGTGCCATTTTCATGAGCTTTTCTCCTTGATGTTTTTTAACATATTTATTTTTCATTGGAGGTGGACACAATACCTTTACTTTATTTACTTATTTGTATGTGGTGCTGAGGATCGAACCCAGGGCCTCACGTGTGCAAGGGAGAGCTCTCTCTACTATTGAGCTACAACCTCAGCCCAATGGCTTTTTTTTTATTTGAAAAGTTAGATACCACACCAGTAAAAATTCTAACCACTCAGAGTATACAATGAAATGTGTCCTTCCTTCCCCAGATGCAGTGCATTACCAGCTACCAGACTGTCATAATCCTTCCAGAAAATACTCTGCGCGTGTATACACACACACACACACACACACACACACACACACACACACTATGTCTCTCCCCTGCCATCCACAGTGCCTTCCCCTCTGCGCACAGGTTTCAGAGATGGTCTCACACAGACACGCTGTGCTTTACAAGGTTGTTTAGTACTCTTTAGTGGAGATGCACCACGGCTGACTTAACCAGTGTGCAAATGATGGTGCTTGAGACCATGTCCAGCCTCTTGCTGCTGTGAACAATGCTGCATGAAGACCTCTGCACAAACGCCGTGCACTGTGTGTCTGGGCTGGAGGCACTGTTCTCACACTCAGCTGTAATGCACAGGCTAACTGCACCGCTGTTTTGTGGGTATGCTGGCAAAGCGTCAATTTAATTTACAAAATGAGGTCGTGTACCTTTCTGTTTACTGACAATTCATTGTACTTCTTTTCCTTTTTCTTTTGGTACCAGGGACTGAACCCGGGGCACTTTACCACCGAGACATATTCCCGGCCCTTTTTATTTTGAGACAGGGTCTCACTGAGTTGGTTAAGGCCTCACTAAGTTGCTGAGGCTGGCTTTGAACCTGTGATCCTCCTGCCTCAGCCTCCTGAGCTGCTGGGATTACAGGCTACAGGTGTGCCACCACCTGGCAATTCACTGTATTTCCTTTTCTATGAATGTACAGCTCACATACTTTAGTTTTCTCCTAAGGTTTTCCATTGGGATTTCTGTAGAACCCTTCACGTATCAAAGAAATTAGCCTCAGGCTGCTGGGCACTGTGGTGTTTTTCTCAGGTGGTCTTTTGACTACGCACCATTTTTTTCTTACTATTAACATTTCTGGGCTTTTTACCTGATGACTTTATGTTTTGTGTCTTTGATTGGAAAGGCTTTGCTGCTTGAAGATTCTAGAAATATCCCTCCTTTCATCTAGTGATCAGATTTCATTTATTTTACATTTAAACCTTGGATCTGTAGGGGTCTGGGAGTCGGGAAGGGGGCAGACAAACAGCTCTGGTTTTGTTTTCAGGATGGAGAGCTGGCAGCCCCACTACCACCATTTCCCCACTCATTTGGAGCCTTATGTTTACAACATACAAAAATACCATTCATATGGTTTTCGACCTTTTGGGTGCTCCCGTCTGATCCCCGGAAGCACCTTTCTAGCTATGTACATCACATCACTGTTTTAAAATCTGGTAGGGGCTGGGGTTGTAGCTCAGCGGTAGAGCGCTTGCCTGTCGCGGGTGAGGCACTGGGTTCAACCCTTGGCAGCAGGTAAAAAAATCTGGTAGGGGCTGGGGATGTGGCTCAAGCGGTAGTGCGCTCGCCTGGCATGCGTGCAGCCCAGGTTCGATCCTCAGCACCACATACAAACAAAGATGTTGTGTCTGCCAAAAACTAAAAAAATAAATATTAAATAAATAAATAAACAAACAAATAAATAAAATAAAGGTTAAATTCTTAAAAAAAAAAATCTGGTAGGATCAGTCCTTTTTTCTCTGAATTTCCTAGCTATTTTTATGTATTTGTTTTTCATATGAAATTCAGAATCAAGTTTTCTACTTCCAAAATAAATTCTGTTGATGTTTTTATTGGGACCATATTAAGTGTGAAGATTAATCTGGGGACAGCTGCTATCTTTAAAATACTTGCCCTGGGGTGTAGCTCAGTGGTAGAATATATACCTAGCACATGTGAGGTTCTCAGTTGATCCCCAGACCACAAAAAACCAAAACACAAAAACCTTTACTGTCTAATAACAGATTCTTCCTCCCATTTAATCAAGTCTTCCTTCATATCTTTGATTACCGTTTTACTTAACATTGTTCCTACATAGTTCCTATTAGGACTGTGCCTAGGTAGTTTATCTTTTTTTTTTTTCCTGTGGTGCTGGGGATTGAACCCAGGGCCTTGTGTGTGCAAGGCAAGCACTCTACCAACTGAGCTATACCCCAGCCTGGTAGTTCATCTTTTTAGCTGCTGTTGTAATAGGGTAATTTCTTCCACTGCATTTCCCAATTGCTTATTCCTGCATACAGATAAGCTCTTTTTAAAAATCATTTTATTTGTTTATATATTTATTTTTCATGTGGTGCTGAGGATGGAACCCAGTGCTAGGCGAGCGCTCCTCCACTGAGCCACAGCCCAGCCCACAGGCAAGCTCTGGATTCTTACGCATTTCACTGAGATTTCCGACTTTTCTCAATTCTCTGCCTATGCATTTCCTTGGTTTTCAGGTAAGTATTCCAGGTATACAATCAAGTCATCTGCAAATAATGATTATCTAACTACCTCTTTCTTCTTTGTATATTTGGTTTTCTTTCTTCTTTGTTTTTGGTACTTGGAATTGAACCCAGGGGTGCTTTACCACCAGCTATATCTGCAGCTCTTTTAGTTTTTGCTATTTTGAGATAGGGTCTCACTAAGTTGCTTAGGACTTGTTAAGTTGCTGAGGCTGGCCTTAAAGTTGTACTGAGTACATGAACAGTACGTGCTTAAGAGTTCTATCAATCATGGGTATGGTGGCACACGTCTGTATCCCGAGACTCAGGAGACTGAGACAGGAGGATCTCGGTGCAGCCTCCTGAGTCCCTGGGATTACAGGTGTGCACCACATGCCTGGCATGTACACTATTTCTTTCTCTTGACTGGCATTGGCTAGAATTCCAGAATAATGCCTCATAATGATGACACTGACAACTATGTCTCCCTCCTGACTTTAATGGGAACAGTTCTAGGTTCATCATTAAATAAGCTGCTGGCTTTTGACTTCAAATGTATTTTTATCATGGTAAGGAGGTATTCAATCATTTTAATTTTACTGACAGCTTGTTTTGTTAATCTGAATGGATGTTGAGTTTTATACATGCCTTTTCAGAATCTCTGGAGATAATTATGTGGTTTCTCTCCTGTGATCTATTAATATGGTAAATAGTAATAATAAATATCCTAACAGATTAATCTTTGCAATACAGCAAAATACTGTTTTTTTTCCATTTTAGAATGGCAAAGATAAGATTTTTTAAAAAATGTTTTTTATAGTTATAGATAGACAGCATGCCTTAGTTTATTTGTTTATTTTTGTGTGGTGCTGAGGCTCGAACTCAGTGCCTCACAGGTGCTAGGCAAGTGCTCTGCCCCTGAGCCACATCCCCAGCCCCCCAAAGATAACAATTTTGATTATATCATATTAGCCTGGGTGGAGCTGGGGAAGAGCCATTCTTACATATTGTTGGTAAAAGCATAAGATGGTGTGATCTCATTGGAGGAAAATCACTCATTTACATAAATTTACATATTAAAATTTCGAATGCTCATAAACAGGCTATACTATTGTTCATAACAGCAGAATTCTGGAAACAACCCAAGTGTTCTCCAAGAGGAGCTGGTTAACTAAATCACGTGCACTCTAACAATACACTTTGCAGCATTATTCAAAGAATACAGGGTTATAGAATGCTATTATATTGTTGTATAAGATCAAGTTATAGATCAATGCTTATATGAAACCAACAGGGGAGATGCACTTGCCTGTATTTACACAAACACACTCAAGAGAGACATATTATAATGCAAAATCATTAAATGTTGATGGGGGTTGTGGATAGGAGATGACAGCTAGGCCCAAGGGAGACTGAGAATGAACTTCTTATATTTTTCTGAATTTAAAAAAAATTTTTGAGTAGTCTATTACCTATACAAAAATTTTTAAACCTTAAAAAAACATATTGTTTATGGCCCCAAAATTTCACTCCTAAAAATTTACTACTGATAGGGGCTGGGGTTGTGGCTCAGAGGTAGAGCGCTTGCCTACCATGCATGAGGCACCGGGTTCAATCCTCAGCCCCACATAAAAATAAAATAAAGATATTGTGTCCACCTATAACTAAAAAATAAATATTAAAAAAAATTACTACTGACAGTTTTGCTAATGAAAGCAAAAGCATACAGTATGAGGAAATTCAACTGGAGTGTTTCTAATAGTGTGACCAAAGCAACCTAAATGTCACTGGAAGTGGGTTAAACAAATTATGCCAAGTTGGGGTGGCGTGTTCCCAAGTACTAGCAACATTTTATTTTCTTAAACTAGGTGGTGGTGCATCAGTATCTATTTTAGAAAAGGTCTGTCATATCTCTTATTTAATAAGTAATTTTAAAATTGCAAGTATTTAGTCAATGAAATATCATTCAGCTGTGCAAGAGACCTTGGTAGAGCTGTATATTCTGATCTGTATTTACCTGAGACACTATCTGAGACACACTGGCACAAGGTGTTGAACAGAAAGCATGCTCTATGCTTATTCTTGTTTAAAAAAAAGAAAAAAAGAAAGGAAACTGTGCTAGTTATGCATAGAAATTTCCAGAAGGAAATTCAAGTTGATAGTATGAGGATCTTAGGAGAGAAGTCTGGGATAGAAATAAGACTTTTCACTATAGACTTATTTGGTCAGTTTGAATGATTTTATATATATATATATATATTTTTTTTTTCTTTCAAAAATAAAAAAAGTAAATATATATATAATGCTCACTGTCACTGAAGAGAAACTGTATCCTCAAGATGGAAGACTAACTTCATCCAAGAGGCTGTGGAGAGAGGGTTGGCTTGTTTCATCACCTGCCTTCCCTGTCCTTCACAGCGGCGCACATCCTTTCTTTCCCTGGACGACACACCACCCCTACCTGATGACACCCAGCAGGAGCTGGGCCTGGAACACTCACTTGGGCTCATGAGGGGGTCCAGACTGGTCCACCAACTTGAACTCAGCAGCAAAGCCATGGGAGCGGGCGTACTCTAACAAGCCGCCCACGGGGTTGGTGTTCAGGTATCTGACGAGCTCACCGATCCTCCTGATCCTGTTGGGCATCCCAGAGTCCAGGTTGTCAAGTGATTCTGAGTTGGCACCTCCCGACTAAAGGAGAATCAGCCAAACAAAAAGGAGCCATGAACATTCAAAGAAACGTGGGCCACCCTGACCTGCTCCGTTGCTAGATCGCCCCGTGGTGTTTCAGCAGGAGAAACGCCCACCTGGTCATCAACCGAGTTGGTGGCCTCCTCGTGCAGGGCCTTCATGGCCTCCTCTGCGGCCATCTGCTTTGCCACTTTCTTGCTGGGAGCACTCACGGTAGGGAAGGTTTGGGCTCCCACCGCCACACAGTACTGGAACCTGACCAGAGGGAGGAAGGTTGTGATTGCAGAAACCGGCCCAACTTGCTAACGTTCTCTACTACATGCGACTTCTTGTGCACATCACCTTCTATAGTCACTTCTGCCTTGCATAGCCGCTGCCCCTCGCCCACCTGCTGCCCGGGTCTCTCAGCCTGGCTCCCCACTTTCAACATGCAAAACTTTCCCCTCCTCCAGAGCCCTTCTCTCGGACATGTGAGTCCACAGACCCTCAAGAGAGCTGCTCAGGCCCACCAAGGCCCTGGACCTTTCTGTCCCACCAACAGTGACCCCCACGCTACCAACCCCTCCTTGCCCCTGGTCCCTCTGGACTCCCGATTCCAGCTTCTCTGCTTTCCAAGCAGCAACCAGGTCCTGAAGGCCCTTCCACATGCAGCAGAAGAAACTGCTCAGAGACAATAAGCTGCCGTCTCTGAAGAGGAAGACGAGCCTGTCTCTGAGAAAGCCTCGCGGAGACACCGTCCCTCCCCGGACGTACTTGGGGTCATGGGCAGGGCCTTCTTTGGACAGGAGCCGGAATTCACAGGAGTTGCCCAGTTTGTGCATACACTCCAGCAAGGTAGTGACGGGGCTCTTCCCAGAAAACAGGGACGACGTTGAGGTGGCGGTGGGCTGGGGCTCCGCTGTCTGGAGAAAGTGAGACGAGAAGACAGAGTAAAGCACGAGGAACTGAGACGAGGCCGGCTGCTCCGCCTCCGCAGAAGGGACGGACGGGGGACTCTCGGATCCGTCAGTGTTAAGGGTGGCCTTCCCGGGCATGGCAGGAGAGAGTAAGCTATCTGCCCAAAGTGGAGACGGAGCACCGTACTGCTTCAGCCTCTTCCAGGTTTGACGTTCTGCACCTCCAGCTAGGCTCAAGGGGGCAGGAGAGGGGCTGGGAAGGAGAGGAAAGCGGGTTGGAGGTGGGCAGAGGAGGCGGGAAGCTGTCTTGGGACTAGAGACCAGGGCTTTGAGACCAGGATCGCTTCCAGGGGCCAGTTAAGATGCTACCCCTTGAGACCTGAGAGACGAGACCCACCTTGGGAAGGTCCCTACCTCCTCTGGCTCTTTTTCTGGGGAACAGCAGGACAAGTCCTCTGGCTTCCCACTGTCCTTGGCTTTGGCCTCCCGCAGGAGGATCGTCATGGCTTTCAGAGCTGCATCCTGCTTGGCCACCTTCTTGCTGCCAGCTTCCGCCGGGGGGAACTCGCGGCCACTGATGACAACCTGGAACTTAAACCTTGGCGGAAGGCAGTCAGACATGAGAAGCCAAGCCGGGCCACCTCTCTGCTCTTCCCAAAGACACCTCCCTCCCGCGTGTCCCACCCCACAGAGTGGACTTGGAGGGTAGGCCAGGAATTTCTGTCCCTTTGGAGGCTTGGCCTGTCCCTTCTTTTTTTTTTTTGGTACCAGGGACTGAATCAGGGACACTCAACCACTGAGCCACACCCTCAGCCCTTTTTTGCACTTTATTTAGAGACAGGTCTTGCTGAGTTGGTCAGGGCCTCACTAAGTTGCTGAGGCTGGCTTTGAACTCTCAATCCGCCTGCCTCAGCTTCCCAAGCCACTGGGATTATAGGTGTGCACCTGGCAGCTTGTCCGTTCTTCTAGGGAACAGAGCAGTCAGTGACTCTGTCCCCATAGGTCAGTGAAGCATGGACAGCCACCACAGTGGGTGATAGGAACCTTGCTCACAGGAGACCCCCCCCATGCCTTAAATATAATAAGTTGTGTGCAATAAGCCACGGGCTAAAATCACCATTATAGTCTCGACAGCAACCCAAAAGCCTTCATCCTAAAGCAAACGAGGTGGACTGGCCTCCTCAGGAAGGTCCTAAAAAATAGAGAAGGCCTGGGGGGTGTGGCTCAGTGGCATTAGAGCCTGGGCTCGATCCCCAGCACTGCAAAAGGAAAGAAAGAAGAAAGAGAGCAGAGGTGTGTCCGTATCAGTCTCCTGCTCTCCACACACTGCCGCTCATCGGGGCCCCCACTGGGTGGAGGGAGAAGGGGAGGATGTGGGAGGACGAGGGGCAGGCTGGGGAAGGGGGCAGAGGAGGACGGGGCAGCCTCCAGGGCTGTTTGTCCCTAAGTTACCCCCAAAGATAATTCACTCTTAAAACGTGTGTTAAGTCATGCTAGACCTCTCAACTTCCTCCGAGCCTGAGGTGAAGGAATTTCCCTTGTTATAAAGAAAACCAAAAGCATTTGTTACGGGCTGCTAGACCCAGCCTAGGCCTCTTGTAGTCAAGCTTCTATATTTTCCTTAGCTCTTCGCTCAGTCTGGGTTTCATCTAGAAAAGGAGGTCAGATTTCTTATCTCCCAGGTCTTCTGAAGTACTTAACACGGCATCGACGTCCTATAGCTGAAGGTCAAAAAATTATTTAACGACAAAACTCCTGGCTGTCCCCCAACTCTGGCAAAGGGGGCTGGTGGGAAAAGGATGACAGCCACTCAGCCTCTGTCGCAAACAGAGACAAAACCGTCATGGCCCTGCCAACTTCTGGACAGACACACCCCTCTTCCTAAGAGCTCCCCTGTAACGCCAACTTGGGGCCATTAAGACGGTCAGAGGAGGACCAAGGGCCAAAGGGGGATGCTCAGTCTGGAAAGCAGCCGTGTAAACGCCGTCCCACGCCACGAGGACGTTTGGGCTGATGATGGACCACGTAACACAACAGTGGACCCACAAGGTAATACTGCCCAGTGACCTGTGGCTGTCGTAGGTTTGTGTAAGCACACTCTAGGTTGGTACAGTGACAAAATCACCCAACAGGACATTGCTCAGGACGTGTCCCTGCACCTGACATGTAACTATAAAAGTTGGTGGCATGTTTCCCATTCTCTCTGGTTCTGTCCAGCAGCGGCTTGCACCACTCGGACTTGAGTCAATGGCTCCAGGTCCTTTCTGGGCCCACCTGTCTGTCTGTCCTGGCCTACGGGGCCAAGAGTGTAAGGCCCGCCAGCTGTCTGAAGGAACCTCAGGTGCTTCTCAGCAGTGCCAGCCCGCCTCTCTGTGCAGAGGAGGTGTTTAAAGTTAGACTACCACCCTCAGCAGGCAGGTGGGCGGGCGGGCGGGCCTGCCTCCCAGTTGAGGGGGTGCACCTGGGCTCTCTGCACACGCCCTTATCCTGGTGTGGCCCACCCTTGGCGGCCCTGTTCCTGTACCTGGTCCAGGAACCCAACTCGAGGGGGAGGTGGGGAGGGAGTTAGGTCCTGGCCTAGGGCCTCAGGGGCAGGCGAGACCCGGTGCCTGAAAGCCGAGATTTCTGAGGAAGCCTCAGTTCGGCCAAGAGTCCGCCTCCCCCTTGGCTCGGCCAGGATTCTGGTGGCTCCAGGCCCACTGCCCAGAGAATGGGCCAAAGGAGGATGATTCAGCCAAAGGCCAAAAAGGAAGAGGGGGACAGGGCCACCGAAGGGCACCGCTCACAATCGGCCGAGGCTTGTTGGTCCGGCCCTAGGCGCGTCCGGCGGGGGCTCACCGGGGCTCGTGGGGGGGCCCGCTCTGCTCGATGAGGTGGAACTCGCAGGTCTGGCTGGCGAACTGCGCGTACTCCAGCAGCCCGCTGACGGGGTTCTTCAGCTGGCACTCGGTCAGCTTCTTGTAGGGCGAGCACCGGGGCAAGCCGTGGCTGTAGAAGGAGGGCATCTCCATGATGGCTCGGAACTCACCCGGTGCCGCGTGGATGCTATTCAAGTCATCCGGGATGTCATCTGTGGCCCACTGGCCATTTTCAAAGTCAACATACCCTGCTTTTGAGGGGCCATTGTGATAAACAGGGGGCCTCAGTTTCATGGGCCCTGGTCTGGGCTCCTGTCTACTCTCTAACCTTATGAGCGGGTCCTGCCCATTCTCGGCTTTTTCTGTGGTCATCGTATTGTTTGGGGCGTTGGATGGGGGGAGGTGATAGGTGGGGAATGCCGTGTTCCTGCTGGTGGCGGGGACAGCACCCTGGGTGGCCGCGGGAGCACTCTGTGTGTTCCTCTTGATCTGCATCCTCTCTCGCTTCTTGTCCGTCAGGTACCAGGTGGGGATGGCCCCTTGCCGGTAGACGTCGCCCTGCTTTTCCATGTCGCACAGCACTGCGTTCACATCTCGGGCTCTGGTGAAGCCGATGTTTTTAGCCAGACTCAGGGCGGAGCAGTTAGACACGTTGAACAGGTAGTCGCAGATCTTCTCCTTGATCTCAGCCATGTCCACAGGCTCAGGAGGATCTTCTGAGTCAGATGTGGGGTGACTTTCTTCAGATTCTGAGTTGGGCTCTGGGCTTGGGGCTCCCTGGCTCTGAAGGTCGGGCTGTACCAGTGTGCCGGGCTGGCTCCGGTTTGGAACGGAGGCCGCAGCGCTCCACAAAGGGGGTGTGCCCTGCTTCCTGTGCAGCTGACCCTTCTTTGCCAGGGAGTACAAAGCTTGATTGACCTCTCTCTTGGGGACCCTGAGCTTCCTGGCCAGCTCCCGCGCTGTGGTGTCCTTCCCTTCCCCGAGCTCCTTTAGGAACTCCAAGACCCTTTCCTCCTGGCCCTGACTGATGCTCAGTCCCTGGAAGCGGGAGGAGAGCCGGTCAGCACCTCTCCACGGCAGGCCCCTGCCACCTGGCAGGGGAAGCTGGGGCACTGCCTGCAGCCCCTGACCTCTGAGAGGCACGCCGCTGCAGACCCCCCAGATCTCAGGCTGCCTGGCTCTAACAGGTGGTCCCGGAAACCTGGGCCAGAGTCCTGGGGGGACTACTGGTGGTGGCAGGGACGGTGCCTGCGTTCCAGGCAGGGGCACTTCTGAGAGCCGCCCCTTGAGAAACTCTATTTGCTGGAGCCGGAAGCTATCGGTGCGCGATTCCTGCCACAGCTGCTGCTGTCTGGCCTTGCTGTGCTCATAGCCGTGGCCAGGGCGGGGGCGGTGTCCGTTGAAGAAACACCCCTGTGGACAGAGGGAGCAGAGGGATGAACCAGGCTGCAGCGAGGCCGCGGAGTCCCCTCCTGACCCTGCCCGGGAAGACGTTCCGGTTTCCAGCAGGCTGAAAAGGTGACAGTCATGGGCTTACGACCTAGCTGGGGTGACTTAGCCACCTCTTAAGTACTGCCTGGGGCCACCAATGGCACACAGGGGACAGGAGGCGGAGCACAGGGGCACCCAGCCGGGGTTCGAGTGTCCCAGCCTCTCCAGAGACCTAACTAGTCTCCCTTTCCACAGCCTTTTGGAGAGTTCACAGAACCTTCCCACCAACGCCAAGAGACCCTCCGGAACCCGAAAACAAATCGCATTTTGTCTTAAAACCAAAACCAGAACCCTGAAAAAGGAAGGGCGTGAGGGGGCTGGGGATGGACAGGGCTCCCCCTCCTTGAGCCAGGCTCCCCCACGTGTCAGCCCTGGTTGTAAAACGGAGAGGGCCTGAGCGGGCCCCCTGCTTGTCACTGGCCTCCCACGAGGCTCACGGTGTGGTTTTAGGGAAGCTGGAAGGTGTCCTTACAGAACTGGCACACTGTCCTTGCTCCTCAGCATAGTGCCCAGGCCTGGGATTGGGAGGGAGCCCTGGCACTTCTCCCAAGCACCCGGGCAGGGTCCCCTCCTTACCCTCAGCCTCCTACCCTGCCAGCTACCTCCCAAGGGTTGCTTCCATGGCCCCCCCTTCTGAGCTCTGCTGTGTGAGCACAAGAGACCCCAAATTCTCCTGTCGCCGTATGTGCACTGCAGTGGAGCAGCTGTGGCCCATCCACCAGGGCCCTCCATCTGGGGCTCTTCCTCTCCCTGGTGCCACGCACTGAGTGTGCAGCAGGCAGGAGGTGCTCATGGGGCTGGGGGTGGCAGGAGGCACTCTGCTTCCTTTGCCCAGGGCTGCAGGCTTGGGAGGGGCTGCACCTCGTGTTTATGTCCCCTCCTCCGGTCCTCCTGAAGGCTCCAGGGGCAGCTGCACCCCTTTCTTCAACAGCTGTGCTTTCTACTCCCCACAAGTAGGGGACGTTGGCATTCTTGCCGATGATTCTGGTTGTAGGGTTCCTTGATCTCTATGAAGGTGACCTCCCTCTCCTCTTTCAGCCACATGTCTGGCTTATCCAGCTGCCCCTCTGATATCACCATTAATGCCAACCCAGGCCACGGCTGACCCCTCAAACCCTGAAACTCTTCTCCAGTGGCTGGCATCTTTTTTCTGGAAAGGGCCAGAGAGCTGTGCCATTATAGCACAAAGCAGCCACTCACAGCATGTCAACGTTTAGGGACGATTTCTTTACCGGGATCTCCATTCCCCAAAACAGGGGTCAGCTGTGGGCTGCGCTGGCCGACTCCTGCTCCTTTCTGGGGGCAGCTTCCCCACGTCTCTGAACGCTCCCTCACTCTGCCTGGATCTATGGTCAGTTTGCCTTTCTACCCAGCACCCACTGGGCGCTGTCTCTTCACCCAAGCTTCCGTGGAACTGAAGGACAATGACTGTGCTAACAGGTCCATACACGTCCTGCTCTTTGCTGTGGCTGGGTCTCCACTGTTGGCCACCCAGTTCCATAAACTGCACGGGCTCACCACAGATAAAGCTTCTTCTTCACAAAACTCTCCTCCCCGGATCTGGTGACACAAGCATCAAAGATCATCTCTGTCCCCTTCTCCTGCCCTTTCTATACCCTCAGTCCCCATGGCTTGTCTAAGAGTTTTCTTTATATTTTGTCCACTAGGTTGACGTCACCCACTCCGCCAACCCAAGCCAGCCCCCTGCAGCAACTCGTGTCTAGCCAGCTGCCACTTCGCACCAACTACCTAGATACCTGTGCACTCAAGTAACCCTCCATTACCTCAAATGCCACATATTCTGGACCAAATTTATCATTTCCCTCAAAGCCACCCTCCTCTCCCGTTGTCACTGTTCACGGCATCCTTCTCGCAGGTCACTAAGGCCAGGGACCTGGCTGTCTGCCCTCCTTCCTCACGGCCCCCCTAAGCCGGCGGCTGCCCTGCCCTGTCTGGCCCACCACCTCTGGAGGAATTGTGTCCCATTCGGGTTGCAGCCCCTCGTCACCGCCTCTTACTCAGAGTACACAGAAGCCTCAAGTCCTTCTGCTCCTCTACCGCCACACCAGCGCGGCACCTCTGCCCTCCACGACTGGCCCTTTCCTCACAAATCTCCTGAAGGCCACTTTCTTCAGGAGGCTCCTGACTCCCACCTCCCAGAGTCCCCTCCTGGAACTCCACCCAGTCAGCACCTGCTGGACCACTGGCTTCATCATAGCTTTAGATTTTTTGATCATGGCATAGATACAGTGTATCTGAAAGGCCATTAACAAGGTCAGGAGCCCAGAAATCACACCTCCACTCCCACACAGTGCCCATGGGGGCTGTGGCTGACTCCACAGGGAACTCTTGGGGGACAAGGACTAGGCTACGGTCACCTTTGTCTCCCCAGCACCTGGCACAAAATTAAAACCACCAAGCAACACACATGAATGCGTGAACAAGGCACCCAGGCAAGCAATGGCACCCCCTTCCTCACTCCTCTTTTTTGGGGGTGGGGGAATTCACTGAGCCCAGGGATGCTTTACCACTGATATACATCCCTAGTCCTTTTTTAAAAAATTTGAGACAGGTTCTATTTATTTATTTACTTATTTGTAAAGGGACCTTTATTTTCTTCATTTACATGCGGTGCTGAGAATCGGTGCTGAGAATCGGACCTAGTGCCCCCCGCTGCTACGCAAATGCTCTTCCACTGAGCAGCAACCCCAGCCCTCGCTCTTCTATTGTATCTCTGTGCCCCCATATTGCTAGGGGCAGAGATGTTGTGTGGACACAGTGAGCGCCCCAATCACAGAGCTGGATTATGGGGATTTTTAGGGGTTTTCTGATTAGCTCTTTGAGTACCTTTCAGAAAAGAAAACTGTTCTGAAGTCAGTTTCTACCAGGTGTTTTCTAGAGTCAAACTTCTACTCTCAACCAAAATCTGGCAAATATTTGAGTACCCACCTAAAAAAAAAAAAAGGGTTGAATAAATGATGAAACACTCATGCTGTGGAACAGTATTCACACGGGGTTTAAAGATATGGCCAGGGGGGTGGCACACACCTGTAATTCCAGTGACTCAAGAGCCTGAGGCAAGAGGATTACAAGTTTGAGGCCAGCCTCAGCAACTTAGTGACACCCTGTAGTAAAAAATAAAGGACTGGGGCTCAGTAGTAAACTGCTCCTGGGTTCAATCCCCAGTGTGTGTGTGTTTGTGTGTGTGTTTGTGTGTGTTTTAGATCTATTTGTATTCACCTAGAGAAAATTTAGGAATATATTGACTAAAACAACAACATAAAAGCAAGTTGCAGAATACATATACATTATTTTTTCTCTTTTTTTATAAATAAGGAAAAACTCATATGTATACATGTACGTATATAAATGTACATGTGCATAAGCTAGAATGAATTCAGAGAAAAAAGAGAAATGATACGTGAATTTTTTCACAGTTATTTTGGGGAAGTTGTGTTAGAGGGGGAGGGAGGGTCATTGTCTTCTTACCCCTTTCAGCACCCTAAAAACCAAGTCCCACTTTAGAACAGCCATGCAGATAACCACCAATGGTGTGGGAGCGACAGGTAGGAAACCTGCCCATGGTGGTCCTTCCTAAACCCCCACCCCACTTCTCTCCCACTTCATGTCTCTTTACTGAGCAAACTGCATAACAAGTCATCTGACATTCACTGCCTCCTGGATTTCATTTTAACTTAGCCTCTTATATTTAGAATCAAGAGACTAAAGCCCCCCACCTTTACCACATGGCTCCACAGCGCCACCCTCTGGTACGTCTGAAGAAATACTTCTTCAAGTCAGGTCTCCCTAATCCTTTAAAGAAGGGCCTTATTTATTTTTTGGTGCTGGGGCTTGAACCCAGGGCCCTGCACATGCTAGGTGAGTGCTCTTATCACAGAACACTTCAAAGCTGGGAGCAGCGGCACGTACCTGTAGTCCCAACTATTCCAGGGGTTACAGCAAAAGGACTGGAAGTTCAAGACCAGCCTGGGCAATTTACAGAGACCCTGACTCAAAATAAAATTTAAAAGGCTGGGGATGCAGCTCAGTGAAACAGTTGCTTGTCTACCACGTGTGAGGTCCTGGGTTCACGCCTCAGTTTCACAAAAATAAGTAAATAAATAAATAAAAATATAGCCGGACATAGAGCACTTCTACTCCCCCCTAAGTTCCTCAAGACGCTCTGCTGTCAACCTCTTCCCCCGGCACGGATCTGTTTTTTGTTCCTGTAGTTCTTCCAGAATGCCAGGGACCTGGGCAGAGAAGCGCCACATCTGTGTACTAAGATCGTGACGACATCCGCGCTGCAGGAATGTGTGATTCCTTACTAAACTGCTGAACCGCACTCCACTGCAGGGACCTACGGGCTTCCTATCAGCCTGTTGCAGGACGTGGGAGTTTTTCCAGTTTTCAGCTGCGGTGCACAAGCGGCCACAGACTTCCCCGACAGGTCCTCAAGGGCTACTTTTAGTCTCGCTAAGGCCTCCTCTGGGGGTGCAAGGGGTGTGGGGAGGAGGGCTGCTAAAAGTCGGGAAAGTCGTTCGAGTGGGGCTGGAGTGCGGCTGGGGGCAGCGGCGGAGCCCTGGCCGAGAGCGGCCCGGGGCTGGGGTGCTGCTGCTCGGGGTGCCCCTTCTCCCGGATCCCTGCCCCGCGCGCCGCTGGAGCCGCACCGGGAAGGGACGTGCGCCCGGCTCGGCCCCGGAAACCGGCTCCCGCAGCCACGCCGCACAAGGCGGGCGCCGTCGCAGCGCACCCCGCGGACGGCTTACCTGCCAAGGATCCATGGCGCCCCTCGGGCATCGCCCCGCCTGCGCGCCCGCCCGCACCCGAAGCCCCCCGGGACGCGAACCCCGCGCCAGTGTGCCGGGCGCAAGATGGCTCCGGGTCAACTTCACTTTCGTTTCTTCGGAAGGACGGCCCCCTCCGAGGGCTGGGCGGGGTAGGGCTCGGGCAGCCTAGCGACCGGCCGGGCCTTGCACCGACTGCCCCTCGAGTGCCTTCCCGGCCTCGGACCGGAGGTGGCCTTTCTTTAGGAAGTCGGAGAACCTGCCGCGCCCCTGACCCTCCCGGGGCCTCCGAGGAACGCGAAGCTCCAGCGGGAAAAGCGGCGCTGGGGAAGCGCCTGAACTGGACTCCGTGGGTCTCTGGGGGGGGTCCCTCCAAGCGACTGACGCCCCACTGTGGGCTGTCTGTCCATGTCCCCTCCGCATCGCGAGCTGCAATCAGCGGGCACCAGCCAGGCGACTTCGCAAGATAAATCAAGGTAACCGCAAAGGGACGATCTGGGACCCACGTCGGCGACCCGCCCCTTCCCAGTCCGGGTGAGTACCCCAGAGTCAGCTCTGGGGCGGACACTGGCCACGCGCAGGGGTTGAAGCCGGGCTTACTGTGGCCACGGGTAAGCTGCTGGACGGGGTCTGGTTCCTAAAGCTCACACTCGGTCACGACTCGCTCACACCACTACCTTGTTATCTAGAAGGAAAACACCATGGTCAAGCTTACCTAACTGCTTGCCCTTGCATCTAACCCTAGGAGAAGACCCACAGATCCGCTCCAGGGCTCAGCAGCTCCTTCCCCCCACTCGGGGAGAAGAGCCTTTATCCTTTTTTTTTTTTAAATTTTGTTTTGTTTATTTATTTATTTATTTATTGGTACCAGGAATTGAACCCAGAGATGCTTAACTGCTGAGCTATATTCCCAGCCCCAGAAATTCCCTTTTCTGTGTTTGATTTTTTTCCCCACCGCTTGAGATTTATGTCCCTTCCAGCTGATGCCCTGTCGCCACTGTCCTCTCGTTCATCCAACCTGTCAGTCACACTACATTTCATTCTCTTGTAGGCAGTGATCTGTCTTCCTTCTGTGTCTTTGCACATTCTGTTCCTTGACCTAGAATGCACTTCTTCTGTTGAAGTAGTCTTTCAAAATCAGCTTCAAATATTGCAGGAGAGAGAGGTCCCTCACTCCAGGAGGGGGATGGGTGAGGCAGCGGGTTCAATTCTTGGTTCCTGGTTCTGTGCTTGCCCCTCATTCAGCATTTATCCCTTGTTCCTCTGAAAATCCTTCAGTCATTTAACATCACTTTACTAGGCACCTAATGTGTGCCAGTGTGTGAAGCACAAATAAGAGCCCCTTCCTGCAGCTGTCAGTCAGTGGCAGGGGTGGGTGGCAGCCAGAGGATGGATGCCTCAACAATCATCCCAGTGTTAGGCATTACTTGTTAATATAGTCTTCTGGGGGCAGAGAACATGTTTTATACACCCCTATATTGCTGGTTAGTTGAAATGAATGAGAGAGCACTCGGCAGGTAAAATAATGGGCAGGAACATTGGGTAACTTCACAGGATGAAATTAAAAATATCAATAACTATATGAAAAGATCCTGAGTCTCATTACATCAGGGAAATGCTGGGTAAAGCTGCAGTGAGCTACTTCCCATCCACTCAACAGGCACCATTAACCACTGGATCAGAACAGGTAGGAGCAAGGACAAAGAGCAGCTTGTCAACTGCAGGAAGCCAGTTTGCTTTTACCCAGGAAAGATGTGAACATACATACACACTCCACAATTCAGCCACTCCACTCCTACAGGAGGACACACATACAAGAAGTCCGTAGATGCACTATTTGTAATAGCCCCCAAACTTCTGGAAACAACTCAAATGTCCATCAAAGTAAAATGGATAAATAAATGGTGGTATATGCCTATGATGGAATATTGTATAGCAACACAAGAGAAATACTACAACTGCAAACAACAAGGTGGGTAATTATCTAAATGAAATTGAGAGGAGCCATATGCACATTATATATGATTTCATTTATGTAAAATCCCCAATCAGGCAAAACTAAACTATGATAAGCCCTGCATAAAGACAGGATGGTTTACCTTTAAGGAGGAAATAGGGGGTTTTGACTGGGAAGGAATATTCTGGGTGCTGGGGATGTTCTAGTTCTTGAACGGGTAGTAGCTAGATAAGTTTGCTTTCCAATAATTCATTAAGTTAAACGTTTATATTTTATTCACATTTGGTGTGTACATGAGTGTATTTCACAATTTTAAAAGGTTAAAAAAGAACAAATCTTCCTGCAGCGACTCCAGCCCATTTCCCCGTGTTCTTTTCTCCACTGAAGCAACATGAGTCAGGTCTTACCTCACTTCCTTGTCTTCTGGATAAATAATCTCAAAGTCTTTAACCTTCTTCAGGAATGATCCAGAAGCGCTTCGGCTGCTTCCCATCCCTTTTAGTCTAACATAGTATAGAGCACTGAAGCTGAAAGGAGAAATGTCTTTTCTAAAGCCGGTCAGTTTGTGCCTGGAAAGAACTGCTGCTGTCATTTAATCTTAGCAGCTCAGGTAACTGCCAAGAGTCTTGTTCATCTCCTCCTCCTCCTCAGTAATTGTTTTAATTCCCCCGCGGCTGGGAGGTGGTGACTGAAATCTTTGTGCTGTTCTATTGTAGAGAGATGGAGCTGGAGGAGTTGGGTGAAGCTCTTTTAAAAATTAACCAAAAGTGGGCTGGGGCTCAGCGGTAGAGCACTCCCCTAGCACGGGCGGGGCCCTGGGTTCCATCCTCAGCATCACATAGAAATAAGTAAATAAAATAAAGGTATTGTGTCCAACTACAACTAAAATATATATATTTAAAAAAACCCAAGGGCTGGGGATGTGGCTCAAGCAGTAGCGCGCTCGCCTGGCATTCGGGCAGCCCGGGTTCGATCCTCAGCACCACATACCAACAAAGATGTTGTATCCGCCGAAAACTAAAAAATAAATATTAAAAAAATAATAATAAAGTTAAAAAATAAATAAATAAAAAAATTAAAAAACCCCAAAGTAATATCTGATTATTGCATAAATTTTCAGAGAATACAGACAAGTAAACATAATTAAAATCATCTTTAATCTTCCATTTCTAACTCATTGGTGTCCACCCTTCCAGGGTTTTCCCTGTGCATGAAGATACCAGGGACAAGAGGTGACTGGTCGTCTCCCAAGGTGTCGAACCTCCCCAGGGGCTGTGAAGTGACCTCAAACGCAATGCCTCTAGTACATACCACTTAGGACTACTTATCAATGATTGCCTGAATGATTAAGAGTTATATCTCTATAAACAACATGTCTCCGCATGCCCCTCACTCAGCAGCCCTGCAGGTGCAATTCCATGTGGGCCTCCAGGAGGCTGGACCTCCCCCATTAGGGGGAGGGTACTTCATCGTCATTGCTTGCTGTTTCAATGATAGATAATGGTCTGGTTTTGTAATCATCAATCTGGTTTGTTGTGGACTTTTCTGTTTAACCTCACTGCCTGCAGGGACGCATATTTACAACAACAGCTTTGAGTCTGTCATCTCCTATAACCAGGCTCTGGTACACACATGGCTGCATCCAGCTGGATCATTCATCTCCAAGGAGTGAAAAGTCTGCAAATTCCCACAATAGATACGTACAGTCTTGCTGGTTGTGCTCCCTAGACAACTTGTAACATATTATCAGAGAAAGTAATAAAGTGCTGAGTTATTTTTAAGTCCTAGGGCATTATTTTTAAAGAGGATATGTACATAAATAGTTTTCTAAGAGGTAGAACAAAAACAGAAGTCTAAGAGCGGTTCATAGAATTGGTTGGCACAAATTACTGGCTGCTGCTGCTGTGCTGCTTTTTTTTTTTTTTTGTGCAGGGATTGGACCCAGGGACACACTACCACTGAGCTACACCCCATCCCCTTTTTATTTTTTATTTTGAGACCAATTCTCTTGATAAATGTTCCAGGCTGGCCTTGAACTTGTGATCCTCCTGCCTCACTCAGCCTTCCTAAGGCAGGACTGGGATCCCAAGTGGGGGCCACCACACCAGCTGTTTCTCTTCACTGTTTACCACTCTACCCTGGCAACATTAATTTTCAGAATTCACGGGGTCTCCCATGTTATCCACTTGCTTTGATAACCTATAGGGGTTTCAGGGGACAGAATAGTGAGCTGCCCAACTGGCTAGAGGTGTTCCACAGCTATATTTATATTATATACTATTGATGTTGGTGACCAGAACTGGCTTTTGAAGCTCCAAGAAATTAAGAAAAAGTTAGCCCCCAAAGAAACAGAGGTCTCCAAAAGCGGTTAAGTGCTCAGGCCCCAAGTTAACCAATAAATGAAAGAAAAGGAGTGGTATTTACCTAGTATCTGTATGGGCTGGGCATTGCGGTTAGTAGATACTGTTATAAATAAAACTACAGAATCAGTAATAATGTCAAAACAAGACTAAACCCCATGGCTACCAGGCCTCTGTAGAATGTTCTACATGTCTGTATAACCACTTAATGTACATTTAGACTCATAACTACCCACAAGGTGACCTCTATGCAGCCTGTGATTTTATGCATTAAATCCGGACCTTTAAGCTGCCTGTCCTCTACTAGCTCAGTCTTTGAGTGCAGCCTGCCTGAGACTGGCTTAGCTCCTGGCCTGCTCTGAGATCCCACCAAGTTGGGACCCAAAGAGTAGACTGAGGTCTACTCTCACTTTTTCTTCCTCCTCTTCCCAGCCTATGAGTGGAGAGGCTTAGTCCCAGTTGCAAGGACAATGTCTCCATCACCACAGCTCATAGAAAGCAACTTGTGCAGGCTTGAAGGCAGCCTGGGCCAGAGTGCTGCAGTTTTTTTTCAGGAGAAGCAGGTTGAGGTTGATTTCCTAAGAGCCAATCTGCAGAAAGCCAGTTTGTCAAATGGCCAATTCATAGTTGGTAGAGTTGTAAACTGAACGACCAATTTACAAAACAACCAATTACTTTTTTTCCTCCTCGGTCTTAACTGACCAGTGTTTATCCTGTCTTTACAATAGAATTTGGAAGAAAGGTACCTTGCTTTCTCTCTTCTGCCCTGGAGCTACAACTGAGGAGAAACCGGAAGAGCTAGGGGCTGAGATCCAGCAGCTTTTGTAGAACTTTCCTCAGAGTGACTTTCTGGGAATTGACAGAGGGCCTATTCTAAGTGTCTACCATCTTCTTTCCAAAGGGAATTAGTAAAGCTTTGCCATTTAGTTTTTTTCTTTATTTTTCTTTTGGTATTTGGGTTTAAACCCAGGAGCTATACCACTGAGTTACATCCTAAACCCTTTATAATGTTAAGTCAGAGACTTGCTAAATTGCCCAGGTTGGCCTTGAACTTGAGAGCCTCCTACCTCAGCCTCCCAAGCTGCTGGGGTTACAGGCATGTGCTGCTGCATCCAGCTAGACTTTGCCGTTTCTAATTTGTCTTTGACAAGTCAGTATTGACAAGTTCACAAAAATTTCCATCTGTACACACAGAGGAGAAAGCCCTGAGGGGTCAGATTGGAGATGCTGGCCTAAAAGATTGTAGGGATGTGGTCTCAAGTCAAGCCATGCCAGTGGCCACCAGGAGCTGGAGGCTCAAGAAGCAGTTTCAACCCCAGAACCTCTGGAGGGAGAGCAGCCCTGTCCATACCTCAGTTTCAGTCCAGTGACACTACTTTCAGACTTCTGCCCTCCAGAAAGAGTAAACTTTTGCTGTGTTAAGCTACCAGTTGGGGTAATTTGTTACAGCAACTTTAGGAAACCAACACAGATTTTTGCCAGTCGGACAAACCACAGAGCTAAGTTGGGGACAGCCTTAGGCCTCGCTGGGCCACCAGCCAGGGTTCTGCATTTGGGGATATCAGATGGAAAGGCAGAAACAGACTAGCTCTCACAGACAGCAGAGTACAAGCCACAGTGCCTGCTTTTAATTAACCCCAAACAATATATCCTTCTCATTACTGTCCAACAAAATTACAGTTTTCTGATTTTATTTTTTTCCAGGAAGGTGCCATTCATTCATTAATTAACTTATTTATTGTGGTACTGGGGACTGAACCCAGGCCCTCATGCATACTAGGCCAGTACATCCCCACCCCAACTTATATTTTGGAATGAATGTCCCGTGCGGTAGTTCCAGATACTTGGGAGGCTGAGGCTGGAGGATCACTTGGGCCCAGGAGTTCCAGACCAGCCTGGGCAACCTAGCAAGACTCTGGGTCAAAAAGGAAAAGGAAAATTTTTTTTATAAAGATGAAAATAAATCCCATATGAAATAAAAAAAAAAATGCCAAGGAAATAATATAAAATGTAGGCAAATTTCTGATATGATTGTGTGGGTTTTGTTTCGTTTGTTTTTTTTGTACTAGGAATTGAACCCAGGGGCACTCTACCACTGAGCCACACCCCCAGCCCTTTTTTGTATTATAGACACAGGGTGTCACTGAGTTGCTTAGGGACTCACTAAGTTGCTGAGGCTGGCTTTGAACTCTCGGTCCTCCTGCCTCAGCCTCTCCAGCCGCTGGGATTACAGATGTGCACCATGGCTCCTGGCTGTGACTGTGTTTTATGCAGTTGTAACCCCCTCCCTCATGCACTCTGTCCAGTCTTCCCCACACAGCCAGAGTGATTTGTGAAAAATGCAATCTGATCATGTCATGAAATTTAAGAAAATTATAAACTATCAGTTAATGGGAGGAGAGACAGGCAGTCGGAATCCAGGAAGGGGCCAAGGAGGCTTCAGCCATGCAGACAGGGCTCTGGTTGAGAAAGCATATTGGATCCATGGGTGCTACAGCTTAGATCTGGGGTGTCCCCCAAAGTCTCATATTGAAAGCATGATTGCCAGTGCAGCAGGGTTCAGAGAGGAGGCTTCTAGGCAAGGACTGTATCATGAGGGCTGTGCCCTCATCAGTGACTAATCCACCAAATGGTATCATCAAATGGATAGCACATCTGTAAGCCCAGGGACTAGAGAGGCTAAGGCAGGAAGACTGCAAATTTGAGGCCAACCTAAGCAACTCAGCATTGCCCTAAGCAACCTAGCAAGACCCTGTCTCCAAATAAAAAATAAAACAGGCTGCATTGAACCTCTGGGTTCAATCCTCGGTACCAAAAAATAAATAAATTGACAGCTGAATGGACTATTGGGAGGTAGGACCTACTTGGAAAAAGTGGGTCACTGCAGGCATATCCTGGAGGGGTTGGTCTCTACCTGGGTCCCTTCCCCTCTCTGTTCCCAGGCTGCCATGGACTGGGCCACTCTCCTCCACCAAGCCCTTCTGCGAAGAAGCTTCTGCATTGGAGGCAGCCAGTGCAGACTGAAAGCTGTTAAACCATGAGCCAAAATAAACCTTCCCCCTCCAGGTTGTTCATGTCAGGTATTTTGGTCACAGTGAGGAGAAGCCAACTAACACACTGAGTATTTGGTTCATTGTCATATTTCAGTGACTTACTCGTTGTTGCATACGTGTGCTTTATACATTTCAAATATCTACACCATCACCACCACCAACAAAACAACGTGACGGTTTCCTAACGTTCCTAAGGTAAGGCAGACAGGCAGAAATCTTGACGTGACTGGTGGGGCCTCGTCTGCCTGGACCTGCGGTCCTCTCCTCTCGCCCTCAGTCCCTGCTTCTCAGCCTCCCCAGCCTCCTCTTCCCTTCCTGCAGGCTGCCAGGCTCCCTGCTGGCCGGCTCTTGCCTGTTCCTCCTGCTCTCACCTCAGCTAGGATCGTCCTTCAGAAGGTCGGGGAGCACCGACCCTGCCCCTCCCCATCCTGTGCGCAACAGCTCCCCGAACCTCTCCTTTGCAGCAAGTTCACACCTATGGTTTACATTTCTTTGTTGGTTTCTGGGTTAGTGTCAGTCTCTCTAACCTCAGGTTCCATGAGGCCAGAACTACACCTGGCGCTTCACAGAACATGGTAGGCCACCCAAAGTATTATTGAAAAACGAAACATGTACGTTTTCCTTGAAAGACAGGCCATAGCTGTGGGACTCCCACACAAACCAGAGTCTTCCCACAGGAAGGTGACGGATCTCGTTCTAAACTGTCCTTCCCACTGCACACTCCAACTCTGATTGACCCGGCCCACGCCCTGTCTCTCTGGAGTTCCAGGTTGAAGTTCCAATATGGAGTGAGTGCACTAATAAATTAACCCACAAAGCAACAAATTCTGACAGCTGCCTGGGCTGCACTACCCGGGCACCCAGCCCTGACACACACAGCAAGAGCCCACTTACAGAAACCTCCACAAACCTCTGTCCTGCCCACTGCTAAAGACCAAGTTCCCAATCCAGATAACACCAGCCAGCAAGCAGTATTTGGAGACTTGATATAGAGGCTGTGAGTAGGTTCTAAAAAGCTACCTCGTCCAGACTCCTCTCCCACTGCCTAAATTTTAAACTAGATTGGCTTTGCCTTTGCTAGACAGGAAAACTCCCACTGCGCACTCCGTCTTTGATGGAAGAGTCTGTATTTTCTGCTTAACAAAGAAGGCTCAAGGGGCTGGGGGTATAGCTCAGTTGCCAGAGTGCTTTTCTTGCATCCACAGGGCCCTGGGTTCAATCCCCAGAACCATCACACACACAAAAAAAAAAAAGAAAGAAAGAAAGCTCAAGGAAGGCAG